TTTTGTGGAGTTAACATTGCATGGGATATCCCTTGTTAAAAAATGACTTCTCGTTTAGCTATTAGACTAGGTGGTCAGGAAAGACCTCTCTGAAGGGGACATTTGGGCAGAGACCACAATGATTTAGGGAGGGCGCAGTGCAGACCTGGGGAAAATACTGGAGGCAGAGGGAACAGCAAGTGCAAAGGTCGCAGTTGAAGAACCACCAGAAGGCCGGTGTGCTGCCGTCTCAGATTTTAGTGTGAGCTTGTTCAAGCGCAGATTCTGGGCTGTGCCTCTGGTTTGGTAGCGTAGGCAGGCACAGGGCCCGCTGCCTTAAACATCTGTCTTACTCCTCAAATTCTCTGCACACAACTCACCATCACACGCCTAGAGCTGGGAAGACCCTCAGGGACCACCAGGTGCAAACTCCTCCCTTTACTGGTGAGGAGACTGAGTTGGGGGGTCTCTCCACAGGGTCTGGTCAGAGGAGAGCGTGCCTTCTTTGTGCCACAGCCAAGGCCCGGCTTCAGTTCAAGGGCCCTTTGAGAGGAGACTGAGGAGCAGGTGCGAGTTTGGGAGGAGTCCCGCCCACTCCTGTGCCTGTTGCTTTGTGGTCGGGGACTTCCTGCGTGGCCCTGTTGAGGCCCACAAGGTCATCTCCATCTTCTGGCTCCCTGTCCCCTTAACCTTTGGGAAATACTTGTAGGTCTCCCGTGAGTCCCTTGCTAGCATTCCTAGCTTGCAGGACAAGGGACAATGAATCGCAGGCCTCTGACCCTCCTGGAGGAGCCTAACTCTCCTCAGGGGGCCTCTGAGCCCCTGGCTACAGAGAACTTTGTCACTGGGAGCTGGGTTGAGGCCCCAGGGGGGAGGAGCTGTGAGGGATGAGAAGGGGGCACTGCCAGAGCTGGGCTGAGCTGAGCCACACGGCTCTGCTGTCCATCCTGGGCCTGGGGAGAGCCGCTCCCTGCATCATCTCCCCATCTCTGCAGCCCGGCCCTGCCCCACCCCCGCCTCTTCTGAAGGCTGCACTCCGGCCACAGAGAGGGAAGTGAGACAGGAAGTGATCTCAGTCACCCAAGCCACAGAGAGGGGGGCTCCCGGCAGGCTCAACAGCCGGTGTGAGTCCCTGAAGCAGGAGACTTCCCCAGGCTCCACCCTCCCTTTCCAGTGGGCAGGACTTGGGGAACTTGAGCACTGGTCTTGATAAGAAAGGCCTTACATGCAGCTGGTGCTTAGCTGGTATCTGCAGCCCTGTGGCCTAGAGCAGCTACAAACACTGACAATCTGTCTCGGCCACACCCACAGGACCAGCCAGCCCCCCTGCGCTGGCCACAGTGGCAGGGAGTGAGACCCTGGATGTGCCCAGCTCTCTGCAGCTGCAGGGGCACAGGATGGTCACTGACAGGTCTCAGTGTCCGAGGAGGTTCTGCCTTTTTCTTGCCTGTCCCCCACCCAGGGACCATTACTGGGGGGTGACTCATCAAGGGGAGAAGAGACATTTGGGTGACACTGAGCTGTACCTCCCACCTAGAGGTTCTCTCTGCTTCTTCATCCTCTAGCTAAGAAGATGCTTTTTTGTATAAGTGAAGAGGGTCTCTGTTACTGGTGTAACTGCTTCATAACACTTGAACTTGAAACAAACATTATTTCCCTAATTTAAGTTAAATCCAAGCTTGCGCCTCCCTGAGAGGGACCATCCACTCTATTCCTGGGGATCCCTCCCCACTTCATGGGCTCATGTGGGATCCCGAGGCTTTTTGGGAAGAGGATGCTAGCTGAAAAATGACAAGGTTCATAAATTTGGAAAGGAGGGCTTTATTTCTCATAAAGGGTTGGAGCCTGTGGGTGGCTATTCCAGCAGGCCGGGAAGTGAGGAACACGCGCTTCCAGGCAGGGACAATGGGACAGGAGTTTATACTGATCGGGATGGCCAAACAGTCATATTACCAACCTATAGGAGGAGTCGTGAATATTCATGAAAGGAGAAACACGCGCACGCGCAGTCAAGCTTTATGCCCTTTTATCAGGTCCGTGTTCGGAGATGGTGGCCCTCCGGTGTCAAAAGGTGAAACAAGGACATAAAATCCCTCTCTGCACACGCTCTATAGACTAATTAAAACCACTTCATCGTTGGTGGTCTCTTATCAGGAAAGACTGCTGGTCTGGATCAGGAGATTTGTTTCTGTTTAGCTCTTAGGAAAAAAACCTGATGGCCATTGGCAAGGGAGGAGTATAAAGAGGCGTGTGTGTCTGACCTCCAGTCCCGTCATTGCAGGGAACTCGGATTTAAGGTTTCTCTGGGGTTTCCTTGGCTGAGAGGGGGTCTGTTCAGTCAGCCCGAGGCTTAGGATTTTATATTAGTTCATGAGGAACACAGGGAGGAGGCCTGGACCTTAGTCCTGAGTGGTCACCATGGCTTCTATGTTTCCTGAGCACTGCCCCTACCTCGTAGGGCTTGAGATGTCCCCCAGGGGTGTGCTCTTGAGAATGGGGAGCTCAGTGGCCCCTCTCTGCTGGACCGTGGGCAACCCAAGTAGTTCCTTTACGGTCTGGCTGTGAGAAGTTGTCCCTCTTGCCTGGGAACCCCCTGAAGCACACAGAATCAGTCCCCATTTCCATCCTCCCTTCTCTGTCCAGAAAGGGAGGAACACAAAGGCCTGTCTGTCCTTACAGGGTTGAGAAAGGGAACATTCCTCTTGTTTCGTTTCTTGAGTGCAGACGGTTAATTTCACAGCCATCCAGCACACTCTCAACCAAAGACGTCTCAAAGGCATCACCACATTCAGGAAAATATGTGAGGCATGTCTTCATAGTCAGTTCATAACCTGCACTGGGACCCATGCCTGCATGTCCCAGTTCACAATGAGACAGGAGCACCCTGCCATGCCCATTTTGCTCACCCAGAAAAAGCCTTTCATAAAGGCTTTGCATTTCCTTCTCCAGGCCCAGGCTAATGGGGCATTGTCACGTGCTTTTTTCAGATCCCACTTCCTGTCCCAAATGTCCTCTGAAACTGCCCCACTCACTTGCATCCGGCTTCCTTTCCTACCCAGGCCCTGGTCCCTCTGCTCTCAGATGGAGTGTCATGGGGTAAGCACTACAGAGGCAACACAGATGGCTCAAGGGTTTATATAAGGTCATGCCTTTCCCTGTTGCCCACCCCGGCTGTGTGCCAGCTCCATCCAGGCTGTGGCTTTTCAGGGCTCCAGCCGCCTCCTGCTCTGCTGGGCTTGGCCAGCGCTGCCTCCTGAGTCTTTCAGTACAGGTGGCCTCAGGACCCCAGCGCCCTCTGCAGCTGCACTCTCTGGCCCTTGTACCAGGCCAGACCCCACCACCAGCACTTCCTCCTTCAGGATGCAGGCTTGCAGGCAGGGGCCTTCATCTGGGTACAGGCCTGGACAAGCCTCCCAGGGTCTGCCATTAAGAGAGAGAAAAAAGGGAATTCTTCAGAGTTTTCATATGTGAGCAAATCCCAAGGTGAATTTTTTTTTATTTTAGCGTATTATGGGGGTACGTGTGTTAAGGTTACATATATTGCCCATGCCCCCTCCCCCCTCGAGTAAGAGCTTCAAGCATGTCCATCCCCCAAATGGTGCACATCTTGCTCGTTGTGATTGTATATACCCATCCCCTCCACCTCACCGACACCCGTAAATGTTACTCCATATGTCCACTTAGGTGTTGATCCATTAATACCAATTTGCTGGTGAGTACATGTGGTGCTGGTTTTTCCATTCTTGAATACCACTTAGTAGAATGGGTTCCAGCTCTATCCAGGAATATACAAGAGGTGCTAGATCACCATTGTTTCTTAAAGCTGAGTAGTACTCCATGGGATACATATACCACATTTTATTAATCCACTCATGAATTGATGGGCACTTGGGTTGTTTCCACAGCTTTGCAATTGTGAATTGTGCTGCTATAAACATTGGAGTGCATGTGTCTTTTTCATAAAGTGACTTTTGATCTTTGGGTAGATGCCCGTAGTGGAATTCCTGGATCCAAATGGTAGATCTACTTGTATCACTTTAAGGTATCTCTATATTGCTTTCCACAGAGGTTGAACCAGTTTACAGTCCTACCAGCAGTGTAGGAGTGTTCCTCTCTTTCCGCATCCACGCCAGCATTTGTTGTTTGGGGACTTTTTGATGAAGGCCATTCTCACTGGAGTTAAGTGATATCTCATTGTGGTTTTGATTTGCATTTCCCTGATGATTAGAGATGTTGAACATTTTTTCATATGTTTGTTGGCCATTATTCTATCTTCTTTTGAGAAGTTTCTGTTCATGTCTTTTGCCTATTTTTTGCTAGTGTTTGATTTTTCTTGTGATTTTCCTGAGTTCTAAATAGATTCTAGTTATCAGCCCTTTATCAGATGTGTAGCTTCCAAAAATTTTCTCCCATTCTGTGGGTTGTCTGTTTGCTGTCTTGACAGTTTCTTTGGCTGTGCAGAAGCTTTTTAATTTGATCAGGTCCCAAGGTGAATTTTTTTTAAGTATCTTTCAGCAGAGAAGAAATCCTGGTGGCTGAGCTCTAGTTTTCAATGAAACACAAGTAGATTTTTTTTTTTTGAGACACAGTTTTGCTCTGTCACCTCAGCTAGTGTGCCATGGTGTTAGCACAGCTCACAGCAACCTCAAATTCCTGGGCTCAAAGCAATCCTCCTGCCTCAGCCTCCCGAGTAGCTGGGACTACAGGTGTACACATGCCCCGCTAATTTTTTCTATTTTTAGTAGAGTCGGATCTCGCCTTGCTCAGGCTGGTCTCCAACTCCTGAGCTTAAGCGATCTTCCAGCTTCAGCTTCCCAGAGTGCTAGGATTACTAAACTTTTTAAACAGGGGGGCAGTTCACCGTCCCTCAGACCTTTGGAGGGCGGTTGGAGAGGGCGGCGCACATTCCACACATGCGCACTGTGGGGCCGGGACTAGTCCACTGCTAAGCAGGACAGGCAGCAACAGCAAAAACACCCTTGGGCGGGATAAATGTCCTCGGCTGGCTGCATGTGGCCCAAGGACCGTAGTTTGAGGATGCCTGGATTAAGGATTACAGGCTTGAGCCACCGTGCCGGGCCAGAAGTAGACATTTTAATTTGGTGGAAAATATGTGATCCTTGTGCCTCCACTCCTGCCCCTCTTCCCCAGGGGACGTGAATGACTCAGTGAAATCTCACTTGCTGAGCCGAGTTTCCTCCTCAGGATCTTTCTCATCCCCTGCTTCAGGTAGCCAGCGCTCATCCAAGGATTTTACTTGTCATCCTTGTGACGTGAAGTCCCCGAATCCCGACTGCCTTAGTTCGGGGGGTATCAGCTCTCCCAGGGTGACAGCCATGCCTGGTACCTGGTCCCCTGCCCGCGTCTTCACCACCCCTACACCGCAGCTGGTGAGGCCTGCTCCCCCGGAGCTCTCGGTGGTGACACGCCGTCTGCAGCAGGGGGCGGCAAACCCTGCCAGTCCAGGTCGCAGGTCACCCCCGCCGTCGCGGTGTGAGAAGGGCCGCAGGCAGTATGCAAATGAGCGGGGGCGGTCGCAATGCCACTTGGTTCAGGAAAAACAGCCTCAGGCCGGCTCTGTGCTGCGCGGCCAGCCCGGTCTGCAGAACCCGGCGTGGCGGTGCCGCGGGCGTGTGCCACCACCCGTGTTTCCGCCTCACCGCCCTCACGCCCCGCCGAGCCCGCGCCGACCCGCGTCACTGCGGGCTGCCCGGAGGCCTTTGCTCCCCCCGGGGTTTTGCACTGGACGGCGCCTCTTCTGGGTGCGCGGCTCCCCGCTCTCCACCCGAACGCCTCCCGCTTGTTCCTGCGGACTCAGCCCGGCCTGCCCGAGAACGCCCCGCTCTCCCCGGGCCGCCCTTCAGGCTTCGTCCTGCGCGACCTCTGGGCGCCACCTGGCCCCGCGCACCTCGTCTCTCCCCTCCTGCCGGTTCCCTCGGTTCCGCTTCGCCCGTCCCGGCGCCTCCTCCCCGCTGCTCCTGCCCCGCTTCCCCGGACTGTGCGGCCTCGGCGCTGCCGCCCCTCGCCGGTCCTCCCGGGCGGCCCCACGGCCTCCCGCTGGGCCTCTGCGACCCCACCAGACGCGAGCTGGGTCCGGCTCGCGGCTTCCCCCACGCCCGGCCTCTTCCCAGGCCCCTCCCGCAAGCGGCACCTGAGGGGACGCGCTCTTGCAGCGCCTTTCCCTTTCCAGTTGGCCGCCAACCCCTCGGCCACAGCAGTGCCGCGCCCCAGCGTCGCCGCCCCGCCCTGGTTCGCGCGGACCTTCGCCCAGGTGGGCGAGAGCCCAGCCGGCCCACGCGGTCTCCCCCCGGGGGAGCTGGCACCGATGGAGTGGGCCTTTCCTCGGGTGAGGGGCCCTTACTGTGTGGGGGCCGTGGGAGAGGCAGCTCCCACCACCGCGGGCCGGGACGCAGGGCCGCTGGTCAGAGGCGGGCGGGGAGGAGAGCGGCACGGGTGGAGGTGGGACGCGGCCCTGGTTCCAGGCCCCTGAGGCAGCGGGAGGCTCAGCGCAGTGCGGTGCGCCCGCGTGCGGATTCTGAGAGATGAGTGATGTGGTTCCACGGTCAGTGATCCAGGCTTTCTAGCCCCAGCCACCCTGACCTCCTTCCCTCACACCTCCTGTGCCCCTGAGCTGCTGTGCCTGAGAGCAGGCGGGGCCGCAGGGCCCCCATGCTCCCTCATGCTTTGGGTGGGTGGACATCCGCACCGAGCTGCTGTGCCCCTGGCTGCTCAAGAGTCACCCCTCCTCTCCTTGTCCCACCACTCCTGACAAAGGAGCTGAGGGCAGCGGAGCAGCCTGGCCTGTGAGGTCCAGGGTGGCTAGGGGCCAGGCCATTCTTTATCCAGGCTTTCACAAGATGAACCTGTGCTATTCCTCTGGGCAATGGTGCGGGCAGGGGCGCAGACTCCTGCCATCCCTGGCTTCCGGACAAACAGTTTATTCTGTGGTCTCTGCTAGTTGCTCTGGGAGCCCAGTAGACCCGAGACACTGCAACCTGGACCGGCTGTGAGCAGGCAGGGAGCAGGGACCGTAAACTGTCTGGACAGAGTGACCGGTGTGTGCCAGACATCTCCAGCAGGCCATCTGCTCCCAGACAGCACAACACATAACCTCAAGAAAGGTGGCAGGGACTACGGAACTACAAACTGGGCTTCCCAAGAGGAGTTTATTTGGGGGGGGGGGGGATTGTTTTATATATCTTTGGTCTATTTGCATTGAAATGTGTTTGAAGCTGTGGGTTTACATGGGCCACTGTGACCTTCACCTTGACATGAAGCCATGGACTCTGACAGCAGGAAGCTGAGCTGGTGGAGTTGGAGTGCCACAGGCTTATATTGGTACATATTTTGTTTATGCCACCATGTGGTGCAATGTCATGGCACTAGGTAACAGGAAAAGGACATTCTCTGGAATTCTGGAGAATCATGAGAAATGTGTCAGGAGCTTGTCCTGACTCAAAGGGGACCTGGAGTGGTGGGACCCAGGGGCCAACTCCCCTGACAACCTGTGGCTCTTCCTGGGTCATCAGCTGCCCCTGGGCACAGCCTGCCTTGTCTTGCCTCCCTGACTTGGCTCTCTCTGTGTCCTCTGCTAGGGACAACTTTCCCATCTCTTCTGTCTGCTGAAATCCTGTCCACGCTCCACAGCCCATCTTGGGTGCCACCTCCTCCTGTCACCCTTGCTTGCTTGTCCCTGGCATGTGAGCTCTCTTATTCCCTCTCACTTGGCTTCCCTTCGAGGCTGCTGAGACCTGGCCCAGCCACCTTCCAACTGTGTGCCTGTGGGCATGCCACATGACCTCTTTGAATCTGATTGTCCTCATCTGTAAAACTGGAATGCTACTCTCTACACTCAGAGCACAGACATTAGAGGGTCCAGAGAGAGGCAGGGCTCAGATAGAGTAGCCCAAATTAACTGCTCCAACTGCTCGCAGCTCCTTTGCTTCACCATGGAAAGTTCCAGGGTGCTTCTCTGCCCCAGGTGCTCCACACAGGCCAGGAGGACAGGACAAAGGCAGGTCTGGGTGCACTGAGATACTCACCCTTCCACCGTCAGTCACTGGTAGCTGCTTTTCCTCCTTCCACCCGAGCCCACTCTAGAGCACAGGTTGCAGGAGGGCAAGGATGGATTCTGACCCATCCTATGGGCTCAACAGGTGAATGCCCAGCCCAGGAGGTGGCATACAGGTGGCCCTATAATTGAACTAGTGGAGTGGGCCTTTATTTTTTAAACAAACTATGTTGAATTAAGCCAAGATCCAGGGACATGGAGAAGTTGAAAAGTGAGGTTTTGCGGACTTTTCACAGGCACAGCCCCACAAGTGTAGCTCGCTGCCCTTGGCTGGTTCCTTCGCTTTGCAGGAAGGTCTTCATGAAATTCCTACTCTGAAGGGGGCACTTGGGGCACTGAGTAAGTAAGACACAGAATTTGCTCCCACGGTGCAGAAATAGCAGGCACCCATGGCAGAAGGTGGCTGGTGCAATGAGGGACACCCAGAGAGAGGAGGCTGGGACTTGATTAGAGGGGGGAGCTGGTCCCCAGGGGCCATCCCAAAGCCCAGACCCTGCAACAGGGGTCCTCAAACTACAGCCCTCGGGCCACATGCGGCCCACTGAGGACATTTATCCAGCCCTTGGGGAGTTTTTGCCGCCTCTGCCTGTCCTGCTTAGCAGCCGACTGGTCCTGGCCCACAGTGCGCATGTGTGGAATGTGCGGCCGCACTCTCCATGGCCCTCCAACGGTCTGAGGGACAGTGAACTGGCCCCCTGTTTAAAAAGTTTGAGGGCCCCTGTCCTGCAAGGACTGCGAACTGCCCTCCCCCACCAAATCTGACTCTTCCTTTTCTCACCCGAGTTTATACATGAGCTGAAAACCAACTCGACGATGGAGCTTCCTTCTCCTATAATCTCAGAAGTGGCCCGGACGGAGGGTGGGGGCTAAGGAAAGAGACATGCAGGTTTCTGTGATTCAAAAGCTTCAGGTCTGGCTGCAAATTTCCCTCTTATCACAACTGAGGGGGTCAGGGGGCCTGCCCCAGAGAGTTGGGGGCGAGGGCTCTCCCCATGCCATTCCTGTCAGATGAGGACCCAGGGTTCTGGTCAGAGAGCCAGAGAATGAGCAGCTGTTGAGACCCCAGAGCTGTGCGAAATCTCCAGGTCGAACTTCTCCTGGGGGAAGAAGCTTCTGAGAGACTCATGGGATCCTTACCTGGGACAGCCTCACAACAGTCCCTCCAGCTGAGCTTCCTCTGCCTCGTGCTGAGCTCAAGGCATCAGCCTTCACTGTGTTTCAGTCAGATGAAGAGAAGAATAAATATCGTCCCAGGCTGAAGTGCCTGAGAAGGTGGGATGTTTTGATTGAACGGTGTGGCTTCCAAAGATCTCTTTATCCCAAAGATATGTGTTTGGCCAACAAAACACTGAATGAATCCATCCTGTTTCCAGAGCCAAGTCTAATCCTGCTGGGGGTGGGGAGGACAGAATGAGACCCTATGACGCTGCTTTGATAGTGATTGCTCTGGAACGAAGCCTGGTGACAGTGGACACAGTGCTGAGTCTTTGGATGAGAAGGAACAGAGGAACACACCAACCAGTTGTGACCCCCTGTCCCACTTCACTGCAGTGTGTGTTGAATTCTGGCCCAGCCTCTGATTTGGAGAGGGAGATGGTTGGAGACAGTGAGTCCTGGGAAGGAGGGGACTGGCCTGCTGAAGGCCACCGTGGAGTAGGGTGGAGGGGCTGCCAAGGGGGAAGAACAGGAGAGGGCAGGGAGTGGCAGGAAAGGGGCCTTTTCCCTCATCTAAATTCCAGGTAGGGTCCTTCCAGGCCCCTTCCCTCTGGGGGCTTCCAGGGAGCACCCTCTAGACGTGCCAGCTCCTACTCCATGCTCCTCAAGGCCACAAACCCCTGCCCTGGCACTCTAAACAATCACTCAAGCCTGCCTTGTATGTCATTTTCTTTCTGGCAAGGACATTTTGGATCATTAAAAGTGTCTTTGAAATGCAACTTCTAATTACAGGAGGAAGAGTGCTCCTGGGAAGGGGCGTTTCCCCAGACACTCTGGGAACTCCAAGCAGGATAGGCTTCAGGAGGAAGCGCAGCCCAAAGAGTGCTGTGGCTGTGACCAGATTTGCTGTGCTGTCAAAGCGGGAGCCTGGGAAGGGGCGCTGTGGGCAGGAATGGGGGCCCCTGCAGGGAAGACCAGGGGCCCTTGAGGCAGAAATCTGTCCTCTCCCCTGAATGGGCCTGACTTGGGATAGGCTCACCAGCCCTCCAGCACCTGAGTCCCCCAGGGATTCTGAGGCCATAACCCAAGGCACTCAAGCTCCACGGACATAATCTCCCCCACATCAAAGCATTCCCTCCTCTGCATGGAAGCAGCCTTGCACTCCTAGAGCTTTAGGGCCAGTGGTGTCAGCGATGGCTTTCCCATGTCTCAGGAGCTGTGCACAGCTCCTCTCTTTGTTTTCAGAAACCAAACAAAGCCAGGCAGGCCAAAGCCGGGGAAGCAGGCTTCCAGGAAACATCTGGGGCAGCTGGGCAGAGGTGAGGTGTGACCCTGGCTCACTGAGGAGCTCCGAGGCCTGTGATGGCCAGCCTGTCCCAAACTCTGAGAACTCCACCACCTAGATCTTCCTGGGGTGCTGTTTCCTCCCTCCGCCCTGGGAGTGTAGGCGTTTATTTTAATATCCAAGAATGCAAGTTGAGATCAAAGTGACTGAAGCTGAAGAGTGTTTTACAGCACAACCCTTGTCAGCCCTTCCAGGGCACCAGCTGCAAGGGCTTCCCTCAAGGAATGAGCCACATCGTAATCCACCTTGGGCAGGAGAGCGACCAGGACATTTAGTTAATGGTGTCTAATTATTCAGACATTTTCTCACATAAGTGTGCCAGAGACACTCCTAGTCTTGCTTTTCCAGTCTGATGCACCTGCGGAGCCAGGTGTGGCAGGTGCCAGGTCCACGGATGGGGAGCACAGACAGCTGTCGGAGGAGCTTTGGCCTTCTGTTCTCTCCCACTTCATGGTCCCAGACACCTTGAGAGCAGCCAAGCTCTCCCTGCCTGGGCTGTCAGGATGCCTTCGATGTGACTGTCAGAGGCAACTGTGTCTTTTCTGGGCTACGTCAAGATGTCCTGGTTCACTAAAGTTCAAGTATTTCTGTCCTTAACTGGCATTTCCCTACTGAAACTCTGGGGTCTTTTCTCAAGCAATTTTCCAGTAAAAACGTTTTCCTGTGTGGCCTGTCCATTGTTGTGTTAGCACTGATTCAGATGGTGACTGCTGGCCCGCTGGGTCTGCCCAGCAGATTTTCAAGACCAAGCAGGTGGACAGAAAGGCAACAGGGCTGGGCTCTCTAAATGCTGAAATGCCCTGAGACTTGGAGAACAGTGGGACAGGGCATCAATGTCTGTCCCCTCCTTAACCACACGCTGACCAATGTTGCTTCCCACTTAAGTTAAACCACAAGGAACAGCTGTAAGTTTTTAGGGAAAGTCAAACTCTATTTCTGATCAAATTATATTCATCCAAACACTCTTCTGCCTGTCCCATTTTGATGATATGATTACATTTTGGGAAATATTTGCCAACTTTCATGGTTTTACCAGCTTCCAGGATACAGGCGCTTCCCAAGGAGGACCAAGTGTGGGTCCCCTCCTGGGGCACCAACAGTGGCAGTTCACTCTGTTCTTAACTTTTACACAAAGGCCTCCTGTAAGATAAGCTTCCTGGTTTTCATATTGCAACCTAAAGCAAACCACAGAGGTTATGACTTCTTTGTGTTTCTTCTTTCATGACCCACCAGGCAGTACAGCAAGCCCTGCCCACTTCCTGTTCACGTGCAGAGCCTGCAACGACCATTTACTTCAGGATGCGGAGTCAAAAGCAAAGCCCAACAATAGTGAAGCCACTCCCTGAGTCAAACTTTCCAGCCCTGCTAACCTACTCAGAATCGCCTATCTTCAAGATGAACTGTTATTGCTTATGTAACACATACCGGCCAACTTCACAAACACCAGGGCTTTGAAATTAAATATGGGCCAACTGTACATTTACGAATGACGTCAGTTTGTTATCTGTTGTATTTCATTTTATTCCTTTCATGGTATAGCCAAAGCTCCCAGGAGAGCTGTTAAAACAGTTTCTCTGATAGAACTAAGAGCTGGGAGCTGGGTTTCTGTAAAGTCAGATACCCCTGGAGGGGTCTGCTTTTTAATTATTACAAAGAGTATAGAAAGTGTCTTAAAAGGACAACTAGCCAAACAGCAATGGGCTGATTGTGTGCATTCAGCACAACATGTACACGGCCCCGGGTTTGCACAAAGGGGATATCGAGGTCACCTATGACAAGACTTGCTCTCATCATGCTAACAGTCTATGAGTCAGCAGCCACATCAAGCAACCACCATCACTGGTACATACTTAGAGGTCTCAGGGGGAAGGGGCAGACACTTCCCACCACAGAGACAGCTCTTTGGGACCGGCAGGATTCCAGCTGCTCTTGCTGGCCTCTCTTAGTCCTCCATACGTCACACACCGTAGGCTCTGAGTTACATGCCTTTGGTCTCTTCCCAGCTTAACCACCCATTCCCTGTGTCATCCAGGGCCAGTCATTCAACCATTCCCTGTGTCATCCAGGGCCAGTCATTCAACCATTCTTTCAGTTTCTTCATCTACAAAGTGGGGATAAATGTACACACCTCATGGCGTATTGGAAGGATGACTAGAGCTACTGCGTGTGAAATGCTGGCACTAGTGGAGTTTTAGTAAGCGTCAGGTCATATCGTGCATCTCTGCATTCCCAGATACTGGCTGGACTGCAGAGGCTGTAGCATTACCTTGGGCAGGGCCGAGCATTGACACCTTCTCACATTTCCTTATTTTTCTCTCTCCTCTATTATACCCTTTCTACATGGTCATGCCAGATGTATAACAACTCTTGTTCCACCTGGAATACTCCTGTGGGGTGGCCTGGCTGAGAACCCGGCTTCCCAGGGGAGTTCTCTGTCACCTCCCTCCCCAGGTGAGGTCATACCATGCCCCAGAGGAGTGCCACTGGGCAGTGATACAGGCAGACCCTGAGATGGGACAGTCCTGTAACTTGCTGGACATGTCCATGTAACCATAGCAACTACGTCACCCCTCCAAGGTGGTGTTTTCTTTCTCTGTTCTTCTTTCTTGCCCTTTGTTGTTCCCCCTGTGTTTGTTTTATCCATCCAATAAATCTTTATTGGCTTATACCATGACAAGGATGCAACGACCACTAAGGTGAGGAAATAGTGCCTGAATTCAATTTATGGTGAGAGCCAGCACGCGCATGTCACAAAACATGTGATAACAGTTATGAAGGGGACGTGCAACCTGTCTTTGTGAGCCTAGTGTGTCCTGCTGGCTGGGCCTGGCCGCCCTCGCGCTGGGCAGCCCTTATAGGGCTCTGGCAGCTCCAGACAGGACGCCGTCTGCTCCGGACACCATCTCGGCCAGGGCCTGCCCCCTGCACAGGAGCCTCAGGGTGAAGGTGTTGCCTCCCACTCCTGTCATGCTTGGAGTGATTCCCATGTGAATCTTTATTTTTTTCTTTTTCATTTTTAAAATTTTCCTGTTTAGAAATTTGAAACAGAAAAAAAAAAAGGATCCAGATATTGTTTTATTCTTCCTGAACTCCTTCAGGTGCTGAACAAACGGAAAATCCTTCCAGGCCCTTTGCTTCCGGTTTTATCTGCTCACAGAGAGAAAGTTCTGGAAGGGTTTCTGAGTGGCGCACTATCTGTCCATGCCAAGGGCAGGACAGGCATCCCGATACCTGCCTCGGAAGTGTAAAACCTTCCTGGGGGGGGGGGTTCACCGACTTTTAGCTACTTAAAAAAAATCCTCTGTTCTTTGTGACTTTCCTTCATCATCTCTGTTTGTGGATTATAAATTGCCCTTTTCTTGAAAGAAATATAAACAGAAATATCCCCTGCTGCAGTTGCCTGAGGCAGAGCCGGTAGAGGGAGCTCAGCGTTGTCATCAGTGATTAATTCATGTATTCACAGTTTCTAATGACTGGCACATGGGAGCAAAACTTGTCATAAAACATTCTGGAGCCCGTGGCCAGACAAGGCTAGTTCATTTCAACAAGGGCATGAGGCCTGCTGCTTTCCCAAGCATCTAGTTGTACTACAACCATGAGGATCCTTGTTGAAACAATTCTTCAAAAACAGCACCCTTCATTTTTCCCCTCATTAACTTATATATACTCTATTTGGATAAACATAAAATTCTCCATGCACTCCTGGAATTTGTTTAAAAATGTGTTCAAAATTTTGTTTTCAAATTTCTTCCACTGTAAGAGTTTGATACTTATTTGCTGAATGAATGAGCTAATAAAGCAATGAATCAAAACTGCTGATTGCTTATTGTTAAATTTGAACCCCACAATAGCCCTGTGAAAGGGAAATATTATTAATTTTTCCATTGTACAGATAAGGAAACAGTCTGAAAATAAAATTTAAGTGCCTTGCCTAAGATCCTAGGTGTAGGTGGAGAAGCCAGCATTCTAATTTCAAATGCTGGTATCCGTGACTCCCAAGTCCACATGCTTTCTGTTACTCAGTTCCGCTGGTCAGTATACTCCTAATACTTACTTTCTTTTTTTCTTTTTCCTTTTTTTTCTGAGACAGACCCATGCTTTGTTGCCCAGGCTTGGGTGCAGTGGTGCAATTGTAGCTCACTGGAGCCTTCAACTCCTGGGCTTAAGCCATCCCCCCATCTCAGCCTCCTGGGTAGCTATGACGACAGGCATGCACCACCACCACTGCCACCGGCTAATGTTGACCAGGCTGGTTTTGAACTCCTGGCCTCAAGTGATCCTCCTGCCTTGGCCTTCTAAAGTGCTAGGATTAGAGGCCTGATCCACTGTGCCCAGCCTCTCTAATACTTTCTATCATGCATTCTCAGAATTGGAAGAACACCATCTTTCCCCTTAGTTATCATTGCTCTGTATAAATTTTAAAGAGAGATATAGCATTGTACTTTAAATACTTATGTTAATACATCCAAAATACTTGCCCTGAAAAATTGTGTACAGTCAACATAGTCTGAGACTTCACTTTCCTTCTCAGAAATCTGGATGAGTTACCTATAGCTTCACTGGCATTTCCTAATACAGTCACCACTGGAAAAATGCTCTCTTGCTTTGCAAAGGACAGTCCATGGAAGTGAAAACACTCTAAAACTCAGTGCTCCTTCACCTTGAATTATGCCAAGATGAAAGCAACTGGAGGTAATAGTTTACTTCCACACTAACATACTCTTAATATTGTATGTTTAAGCCATTCTCAAGTCATATCTTCCTTAAGAAATTGGAAGAATTCTTCACTACCTTGCTTATATTTTTCTTGGCTTTAGCCTTGCCTTAAGAAATCAGAAAAATTTTGAACTATACTATATACGAAGCCATTTTGTGTTATATTAAAAAGCATATATCCTAGCTCTTGGGAGGCCGAGGTGGGCGGATTGCTCAAGGTCAGGAGTTCAAAACCAGCCTGAGCAAGAGCGAGACCCCGTCTCTACTATAAATAGAAAGAAATTAATTGGCCAACTGATATATATATAAAAAAATTAGCCGGGCATGGTGGCGCATGCCTGTAGTCCCAGCTACTCGGGAGGCTGAGGCAGAAGGATCGCTCGAGCCCAGGAGTTTGAGGTTGCTGTGAGCTAGGCTGACGCCACGGCACTCACTCTAGCCTGGACAACAAAGCGAGACTCTGTCTCAAAAAAAAAAAAAAAAAAAAAAGCATATGATGCAAATACCATTTAGTCTCTTAGAGCAATAATTCTTAATCTAACAGGCACATCCTAAAACAAAATTTCCAGGGGATTCTGTGTGGTTTGAGCATATCTGATGTGACTGGGTTGATTAAAACATATTTTAAAACCATACTATTTATTTATTAAAAGAAGATTAGTAGTGTCAAGGATAAACAAAGCTGGACACTGGGTAAACTATTAAGAACAGATTTTAATCAGTAATATACTATTGCAATAGTGGGAAGAGTCCAGTATGAACTGAACTCAACTTTGATTTGTACAGAGGTTTTAAAGGAAAAATGAGGGAATACGGAGGGGGTTTGCAGGGGCTCAGGAGTTGGGAAGGTGAAAAATTACAAAAAGTGGGAAGGAGGGTTGGTCCAGGTGAAACCCATCTGTGCTTACTTACTGTGCTTATGGAAGTTAGGTGCCCATCCTCCCACAGAAGCTGGGGGACACGGGCCCTGTCTTCAGCATTGGCTGGAACCAATAATGAATTCTTTGGGCAGCTTTGAGTTTTCTTAGGCAGGTCATTTAAGGGGTGGCCTTGAGCTGTTAGAAACCATGTCAGTGTCTGTTCAATTCTTTATAGGCTGAAGTTGAAGCCTCGTTGAGAAGAGGGCTCAGAGGAGCCTGGCTGCAGCTTGGTCAGGGAGAGGATCATCAGTAGTATTTATGAATATTGTTGAGTAGGTATAAAGGAGCAAAGTATTTTCAAAGTAACTGACAGGGATTTATGTTGTCCTTTTGAATATAGTAAAAAAAGATTTATTATTATTAGGAATCCCTAATTTGACCTTACAAATTGAATTGAAAACATTAAGAAAGGTGCTGCATCCTGTTAGATTGATAGTCAGTGTTATAGAATTCTTCCATAAGCTCAAACATTGTCCAGCAGGCATATGGGTAGCAAAAGCATGTTTAAAGACAGGCTATTTTATTTTATTTATTTTATTTATTTTTGAGACAGAATCTTGCTCTGTTGCCTGGGCTAGAGTGCCATAGTGTCAGCCTAGCTCACAGCAACCTCAAAGTCCTGGGCTCAAGTGATCCTCCTGCCTCAGCCTCCTGAGTAGCTGGGACTACAGGCATGCGCCACCATGGCCAGGGCCATTTCTTTCTAAAAATGAGCACAACAGGATCTGAGGAGCCTGCCTTGGCCAGTGGAAGGAGCCCTGTCTATACAGGACTAGAAAAGGACACATGGAACCAGGCATCTCTCCTGGTCAGGGTGGGAGTGCCAGCCTTGATTTACAGAGCAAGAGCAGTTCTCTCTAGGGCTAGGAAAACGAACACAGAGAACATCAGAAAAAGCAAAATAAGAAAAAGAAGTGAACATTTTTAAAAGGGAAGGAGCTATATATTTGCAGAAATTACATTTTTGAAGTGTGTTGCTATTATGCTACTTTGCAGATTAATGCTATGAGATTTATAGCATTAATCTCGTACTCTTGGAGTTTTATAAGTGGAATCTTTTTGAATGACTTAAGATAAATCTTCCTTTATTATATTACTTAGTGAAAATGTTATTTTAGTGAGATTTCAGAAATCTAAATATCTTAGTTTGTTTTGTGTTGCAACAACAGAATACCACAGGCTGGGTAATTTATTAATATAATGAGCAAAAATGTATTAGCTCACAGTTCTGGAGGCTGGGAAGTCCAATATCAAGGTGCCAGCATCTGGCAAGGGCTTTCATGTGGCATCATGCTGTGGCAGAAGGGGGAGGGGCAAGCCAAGAGACAAAAGGGGACTAATCCCACCCATGCAGGTGGAGCCAATCCACTCTTAAAGGTTCCACTCTCAACACTGTCATAATGGCAACTAAATTTCCTGTTTTGGAGGGGCCAAACATTCAAACCATAGCACTAAGTATGGATAGCCAAATAAGATTTAAGTAGACCTGCAAATGACATTTTGTTTGACTATATGACTTACCCTGGAGAATGGCTGGGAACTCCCAATTCAGAGTAACATGACTTGTGACTCTGAAATTTGTTTTGTTGTTTGTTACAACAGTGAAATCTCTGGGATCCTAGCCTCTTGTATCAAAAGTAAGCATGCAAAATATCTTAAGCAACTTAGTATGAGTATACAATTTTTTTCTGCTGCAGGACTTATGCCAATTAATATTCACAGTTGTCAAATAACTAGCCAACTCAGTTCAACTTTTAAATAAATCTATGTTGTAATTATATTTCATCTGTTTAAAGGTTATAATCATATATATATTTTAGTCATTTATGTAGGTGTTATGAGTAAAATGATTTAATACACTACTGTGCTTGAAATAGGTTTTATGTTGTACCATCAGTTAGGATACTCTTACCTAGTAAAATGAAGAAATTTAAAATAATTATGCAAATGTTGTTTTAAGTATTCATCTCAAATATTTTATATCATCCCCCTCAAACATGTTTTAAGCAGATTTAATTGCATTTGGTACTGTACTCAGTACAAAGATTACAGTGATTCTGTCCTGTTGCCTGAAAGTGAATACTCTAAGACAGTTTCTGGGAAAGAAGACACACAGATGATCCTATGGAATCCAGAACAGGGTGTCAGAATTCAAATAAACCAGCCCATGGACAAAGAGTCCTGGAGGAAAGAATCAAAGAGTGAGAGACAAGGGCAAGTTCACACACACAGTGTACTCAGGAGAGAGCAGGGATCTTTGCTCCCAAAATGTAGACAAAAACGTTCACAAGCTATAGTCCAATTAACCCAGGAAGTCTCCAGCTGACAATGACAATGGGATCATGTGATGTGAATTATGTATGGCAAGTAGGAGTTGGTGTCCAGGAGAACCAAGAGGTTACTCAAGGGGACCAAATGTATTCAAGGGGGTGGTGGAAAGATCTGAATTTTGGAATCCTAAGACCTGGGTGGGAATTTCTGCTCTAGTCCTTATTTGGTGGGTGTGCCCTTGTGCAAGTTGTTGACCTCTCTGAGTCTTGGTTTCCTCAGCCTAAATGGGGATGATACCTGTCTCACAGAGCTGATTGGAGCCATGAATAAGGTAAGGAATGGAAAGTGACACAGAGCAGGGCCTCATTAGACGGTAGTCCCCTCTTTTCTCCTTCCCCTTCTCCACCACCCTGCTGCCAACTGCAGTTGCTACCCACTTTTCCTAAAGGGCAGGGTGTAGCTTTGGTGGCAGAGTGGGAGCAGTGACCGAAGAGACATGAAGTGCTAAACATTTACACTGATGGGCTGAGCCTTATATTCTAGCAGGAGAGAGCAACATGGAAATTATACACGACATAGATGGGCACAGCCGGTTCTATGCTCCAGCCCCTGTCTGCCTCTGAGTGTAGACTTTGGGTGGGAGGTTGGGGGGAAGGCTGCCCTCCGGGACCCACAGTTTAGAACTTGCCAAAACAAGCCATGTACCTGCATTCAGTGTCTAAACCCCAGATGAAATCCACAGTATGTTTTAAAAGGAAACAGTTACATATTCTAGATTAAGAGAGATGATGGCAAAATCTAGGCGAGAGAAGCTTTTAGCACAGTTAATGGCAGAGTCCCTGCCATGGGGGGACAAGAGAGACACCCAAGGTAGCCTTCCTCCTCCACTCCAGCTGATGGAAAGGTTAGTGCCAGTGAAGGTTCCATTGCTTCTTGCCTTAATCCAGCCTTGTGGAAGCTCAGTAACTAGACCAAGAGGGAGTTTGCTATAGCCTGGCTTTTAGGAGAACGCATATGACTTAATTTCATGATTAACTAATCCATTCATTTACTTAACGGGGAGAGATACAAAGAGAAATGAAATATGCCTCCCGCCTTCCGGGAGCGCTGATGCCTTTAACGTGGGAGCGGCGGCGGGGGGCGTGGGGACTGTGAAAGAAAATGATCCAGGAAATGTGTACCTCAAGGGAAATACGACAAAATTGTGGTTCTGGGTGGAATACATGAGAAAAGAATAATGTAACACTGCTTTGCTATTAGGAATAGTATTTATCTTAGGTCCCATAGACCTGGTATAGCGCTTTCATTTCTGGCATTTACTGCAAAACTCTGAGGCAGGGCTAATATTATCTTACCTTAAGGGTTAAGGCAACTGAGGCTGGGGGGTTCGCCAAAACCACATAGGTTTTCTGACTTTGGAGTGCAATATGCACGTCTGTAGCACAGATTTCCACCCAGGGCAAATTCGACGACAATGATGACAATTCCATGTCAGAACTTGTCTTCACGAAAGGCTCTGATGAACTCATTCACACTGGATGTGAACGACTGAGAAAATCCAATGCATTCACTTTTTTAAAAGTAATAAACCTGGGTGTTTTGTAGTTATTACTATAACTGTGAGAAAATGAGAGCTTTGGGCACCTGAAGCTAGGATATAAATGAAAAATCCTGTTTATTACTATAATTTAACAGATAGTGTTTCCACAATAGGAATTCACTTAAATTTACCTAGTAGGGGTGTGAAGAAATACTTTGATTAAAACCACATTGCAAAATGGGGAACTTCAATGCTTTAAATTCTCAACTTCAAAGGAAGGAAACCAACTAAGCCATAATGATAACTTGCAGGAAACAAAAACAAAAAGGTTTAGGATCCGTAACAGAGTCAACAATGTACTGATTCAGCGTTTTGAGGGTCAACTAAAACCAGGCTCGCGTGGTGCAGGACAAGCGGTGTTTCAGCAACGCCCAGCACTTCTTGTTCCCTGCTCCACGTCGTTGAGCACTTTCTACCTGTCCCCACAGCAGTCCTCGTGGGACCCCGCGAGGCGTCCCCACCCTCCCCGCCGCCCCGGCCGGTCTCGGTCCAGGTGGTTTCGGCCCGTGCAGCGGCCGCCCGGACAAAGGAGCCCCCTGCGCGGCCGCGAAGGCCCTGCTGGGGCCGCAGGCCGCCGCAGGATTTTAACACGCTAGGGAGAGCGCTCAGAGCGTTTTAGAAAGAAGCATTTTCTGGCTCGGATATTTACTTATCACTTTGCGAATTTATTATTATTATTATTTTCAGTCTCTCTCGCCAAGCCACCTTGTGCCCCAAACCCTCTGCGGCAAATCGCCAGGAGGGGAAGGGCGGGGAGCGCGCGGTCCCTGGGCCGCCAGGGCGCCCGGGCTGAGGAGATAAGGCGGTGGCAAACGCGGGTCCCCAGGCCGCGCCAGGAGCCGCCCGCCTCGCGGTGCCAGCTCCTCCGCCCCGCGCGGGGCGGGGGACGCGCCACAGCGCGGGGCCAATCCACAGCGCCGAGGCGATTCAAAAGGCCGAGGAGCCAATGGCAGCCCTGGGCGGCTCCGCGGGGGGCGGGGCGGGGCGGGGCCAGGGAGGCGCGCGTCTGGGCCGCGGGGTCGCGGGGCGCGAGAGCGCGGCCGGCAGCGTCGCGCGCGCGGAACGGCCGCCCGGGTGCAGCTGCCTCCTCTCCCGGCGCCGTCGGTGTTCCCTCAGGCGACCTGCGCAGGTGAGCGCCCCCTCCCTGCCCCGCTCCCAGCTCCCCGCGGCGACGCCTCGGACGGGCGGCGGGGAGGGCGGGGGCCGGCGCGGCAGGTGGGCCGGGGTCCCCGGGCGCGGGCCTGGCGCCGCGGCCCTGCGCTCCCCTCCAGGTGGCCGCCCCTCTCCTCGCCCCTGCCGGCCGATCGGTCGGGGCGGCGGCTGCGGAGGCTCGAGCGCGCCGGGCCCGCTGCGGAAACGGAGCTGCGGGTTTGAAACTGCGGACGTTTCCCTCCACGTTGACGCGGAGAGTGGCGGTACCGCGGCGGCGCGGAGGGCGTGTGGCCTTTGTCCCGCCCGGCCACGGCCCCGGCCCCGGCCCGGCCCGGCCCCGGCCCCCGCGAGCGCCCGACTGACAGAAAAGCGGGCGGCCCGGCGCACTGCCCGTCCGGAGGCAGGAAACGCGCGGCAGCCGGGCGGGGCGGGAACGGGGTGCGCAAATTTGCTTTAACTCGCGCCGGTTGTTGTCACTGGTGTGGAGGGTCGTGGTCGCCGTGGTTTGTTGACTCCCAAGGCCGGGGTTGCGGGGCTGCTCGGCTAGACGTGTTGAAGTCTCCCGCATGGTCTCAGAAACGGGTATGGAGGCAGGTTTGCGTGCTCCTGCTGCAGCACGATCCCGTTCTGTCACCTTTTGAAAGCTTTAAAAACACATTTCCTCATGACAGCCTGCCTTGCACTCAACAGCCTCAAGGGGCACTTAGTAAGCACTTGATCGCACAGGGCCTTGTTAGTCCGGGTCGCCCGGAGTGGAGAGCAGGACACAGTAGATAGATGGGACCGCGCGTGGACAGCCCAGGGCTTCGGCCCGCAGCCAGCCTGCTGGCTCGCCCGCCGCGAGGCCTCGCGCCTGGGCACAGCCGGGCTGGACACGGACCCCGGGGACCTTGCACGTAAACGCGTGTAGCTTTGTGGTTTCCCACTGTAGTCACTGCTCTGTAGGAGAGGGTGGGGCTGCAGAGAAGAGCGGGGTGGGAGGTCCTAGTTTAGACTGGGCAACAAGTCCAATTTAAGTTTTCTTTCCGAGAGCTGCCTGGGCAAGAGGGAAAAGAGCGAGTAGGAGGGGAATGATGAGTTGACTTCGGTTGTTTATAAAGGCCCTTCTGCCTCTGCCTTTACAGCCAGAAAGGTGGAGTGTCTGTTGCTTCGTGCAGCGTGGGCACCCGGGATCTGTATGCTTTTTGCCAAGTAGGCCTACCTGGGGGGCTCAGGTGTTGACGGGGAGCTGTCAGACTGCATTTGAGCTTCTTGTTCTCTACCACAGTTAATTAATTTGGACAAGTGAAAGAAAGGTGACCAAAGACAGAACTGTCATGTTGATAAACAGTGACATATTGGAGCTGAAACGTGTGTTCCAGTGCCAGTTGACACTGAAGTTAGCAAGCATCCAGCTCAATAGAGAAAAGCCTGAGGACCCCCATGTTTTTCTCTTTATGGGGAATGAGGACACTGTGTTCAGTAAACAAAATTTTTCCTTACACACTTGACTGAAATATTCCTTCTAAGGAAAGTTTATCTGACTTCTTTAGGTGAGTACGTAATGATATGCACAAACGTGGGCTTTTGCATACTGCGGGGCTTGTTCACGCCTGTGTAAAGTGGGGTGCGCATCATGTTGGCTTCATCCTTTGGAACCTTTGTGTATAAGGTAGTGGTCTCCTAAGGAGAGTGCTGGGTTTGTTTTGTTTTTCAACTCTTATTTCTTTTTCTCAAAAATTAAGCTTAAAGACCTAACAGATATCTACCAGATATCTTAATTTGTTTAACCCCAAATATTTTATTTAATTGATAACAAAAAAATCTTTTCGGCAGTGTCCTGTGTTCAGTATTGCACAGATACTGTGTGTGCGGTGTGTAATACTGCAGTGGAAAGATGCCAGTTAGTAAATTTTTAAGAACATACAGGATCTGTTTGAGGGCATTTTAAAACTGCTACTGGCCCCTAAGAGCTGAAGAGCTTGTGTTTCAAAAGTTTACAAAAGTTATTTGAAACCTGAGTGTCTTCATGTAGAACGACATAATTGCCTTCTTCAAACCCTTTCTTCAAACCCTGGCTGAGCAATGTAGGAGAGCTAGTACTAGTAACAGTGGTTTGATTTTGGAGGGGTCCAGGGAGGAGAGGGGGCACAAGAGAGGAGAGAGGAGGGTGTATTTCCTTCCTCTTTCTTTGTACTTGGAGGCTCAGAGCTAAGTGTTGAAATAGGCAAAACTGTTGTCACCTTCCCTTTTTGCACCCCTCCTCTGTCTGGAGGTGCCCACTGCCCCCCCTTCCTAAGTGTCTCTCAGGTGAGGCCTCAGCCAGGCCTGACTTCATCCCAGAGGCATGTGGGCTCATCCCCACTATTCCCAGCCCCAACCCATTCATTACCTTGGTGATGCTATCCTAGGTGGATGCTGAGAAGAAAGCAGGCTCTTTTACCTAATGTGTTAATTGACTGACATCCTCTAATCATCTGATAAGTGCTGTTTTCTTTCATCACCAGTCTAGCCACTATCTATCTAAACAAGTGAAGCTTGTTAAGTGTTTTCTCAGGCCATTAACAGTGAAGATGTTTAGTTGACTTTTTATGGGAGGAGTAGGTAATGCAACTTTCTCCTTAATTCTTAAATGTTGCTGTTGTTGTATCTTCAGCTCTTTTTTTTTTTTTTTTTGAGACAGAGTCTCGCTTGTTGCCCAGGCTAGAGTGAGTGCCGTGGCATCAGCCTAGCTCACAGCAACCTCAAACTCCTGGGCTCAAGCAATCCTTCTGCCTCAGCCTCCTGAGTAGCTGGGACTACAGGCATGCACCACCATGCCCACTAATTTTTTCTATATATATTAGTTGGCCAATTAATTTCTTTCTATTTATAGTAGAGACGGGGTCTTGCTCTTGGTCAGGCTGGTTTTGAACTCCTGACCTCGAGCAATCCGCCCGCCTCGGCCTCCCAGAGTGCTAGGATTACAGGTTTGAGCCACCGCGCCCGGCCTCTTCAGCTCTTAATAGGAGCTGGTAAAGAATATATATTTATATGCTTGGACAATATATCAGGAATTGTTTAGTTGGTGAGATGAAGGTGATTTAGGGAGAGAACACATCAGTCGTACAGTATCTACTTGAACTAGGCCCAGCTGGCTAGTTCATATGGTGTGGGAGAGAGGAGGTTGACGGCACTGGTTTCATGGTGTGGAAACGTGAATCTGCTGGCCAGTGCGGGGAGAGCCCTTACTACGTAGCAGCTGGAAGCACCCAGCAATGGATTGATATTTCAAAAAGGGTGGCAGGCAGCCTTTATGTAAGTGGCAATTTTTGCATGTTTGTGGTTTTTTTTTGAGTGTTGTAGACTTCATGGGCCATGTTTTGAATCAGTGGACAGAATGCTATGATTGGGATTGATGCCTGCTGTATGCTTGAGAGAAGTGAACCAGATATGAGCTAGCCTAGGGAGGTGGTTGGCAGAGTTATTTGGTGTGCATTTGGGCTCTTTAGCTGTAAGAATTAACCCCCAAATTTGCTATTCATTATAGATTTGGAATTATTTTTTTTCTGTTGGTGGGTGGTAATAATCTTAACTGTATATCCTTGATTTTCTCAGATGGTCTATTTCATAGTTTGTTTTTAATAAATGTGATTAGTTAAAAATATAGTTAAATGCATTTTTAAAGCTTTTGTAAGATGATATGCAAATTTACACATCAGAAAATGTGTCCTTTATAAGATTATGCCTGATTTTTTGATTAGCAGGAAATATGGTCACTGTAGGTGAGTAACATTTTGCCTAGTGCAAACTATTAAATATGTGGTGCCTATATATGTTGTAATAATCCTTAGTGTCACATATGTGTGTAGAGTGGCTAAATCATCCTCTATAAAGTGATTCCAAATGAGATATAATGTAGCAGAAAGAACAGTTTCAGTATTGTCCTAGTTCTGCCATTTTATGCCATCTATTTTTATGCCCTTGAACAAAGTAGTTAACTTTAAGTTTTTAGTGTTTTCATCTTTCAAATAAGCTCTCCAGAGGCCTTTCTGGCCCTAAAATCTTGACCGGTTAATTCAGGAGAATTGTATTTTAGTGATCAGCCTGTGATAAAAGATAAATATATAAGTGTGTATGTATATTGACTCAATTTTTTTTCTTTAAAACTGTTCAGATTAATTTTAGAAAATGCCGAGTAGGAAATTTGCTGATGGTGAAGTGGTAAGAGGTCGATGGCCTGGGAGTTCACTTTATTATGAAGTAGAAATTCTGAGCCATGACAGCAGCTCCCAGCTTTACACTGTAAAATACAAAGATGGAACCGAACTTGAATTGAAGGAGAATGATATTAAGGTAAGAACTCCTTTGGTTGATCAGAATATCAACTTACAGTAAGTGGGAAATAACTAAGTATGATTTGTAAGCTCAGTATTATCAGTTCTGGCTCTGTTTGGAGGCATGGGTTGAACTCCTGCTTTGGGTCAGATACTATTTTTGGCTTTGGGAAAGGATGCATGAGGCATAGTGCTTTGTTCCCAGTAAGCTTGCAGTTTCAGGGAAAGACAGACATTTATACCTGTTGTTTCCCTGGGTTTAATACATTCTGTGCCTGGAGTTGCTGTGGGTTATTGAGTATATCAGGGGTAGAGAAGGGCCCTGGGTTTCACAGAAGGCTTTCAGAGCTGGTGATACCCGAGCCAAGTACTGAGGACACATAGGAAAAACTCAGTTGAAGTTGGGGCTGCTTCCGCAGAGAGGGCAGCATGCCAAAGGTGTGGGGGTCGGGTGACAGCCAGGTGCTGGATGGGTGATGGGCAAGGGCCAGTGGAGGGTAAGCAAGAGCCAGACTGGAGGGTTTTACCTGCCAAGTCCGGCTTCATCCTGAACACAGGGGTTTAGTCGGGAGAGTGACGTTAATTAGATCTGAGTCTAACCCTAACCCCAGGGCTAGACTAACTCTAGCCCTAACCCAGTTAAGGCCTGGGTTTTAAACTATCTGATCTGTGGTATACAAATACTTATGTAAAATGTCATGAAAATGAATTACCAGAAAAATGAAAAAAAAAAAGATATACAAAATAAGACCCTCACATTTTTATCATCAGATTCAATAGACATAAAATTACTTTGTCAAATGCTATAAAAATTTCCGTACACCTCTTCTCAATTTTGGTATTTGTTGCGGATCAGTGACAAACTGTTCCTGGACCAATAGCATATGGACCACATTTTGAGTGTTTTAGACCAGGAGTTGGCAAATTATTTGATTAAATTGACAGATAGTAAATATTTTAGGCTGTATGAGCCATATAGCTTCTGTAGCTTGGGAGCAGCTATAGGCAATATGGAAGGGAATGGACATGGCTGTGTTCTAATAAAACTTTATTTATGGGCACTGAAATTTGAATTTCAGATAATTTCCAGGTGTCAGGAAATATTATTCTTTTGATTTCATTTACAATCACGTAAGAAATGTAAAAGCCAGTTTTGCTCAAGGGCCACACAAAAACTGGGATAGGGAGGATGTGGCCTGTGGCAGTTTGCTTTCTCCAGGTCTAGATGTTTAGAAGCAATGGCAGGAGTGATTTGGAGTGGGGGAGGACATGGTAAAACAGTTTCCAGGAATCCAAACTTGTACTTTGTTTTCAAGATCTGCTTGTGTGTTTTGTTCAGAGTGAAACTATGGAATTCATTTTTTAAATTGTTTGTGTACTGATTTCTTTTGTCTTATCATCTCACTTTTAATCAATGTTAATTATAACCCTTCTTGCATATGTTCCTGGGAATATGTACAGCTAATTGGTTTAGACACATCTATTTTATGGAAATATCTTCAAAGAACATTTAGGAATGGAAAGGCTGCATGTGTGTCGTGAGAGATAGATCATTATTGCTGTGTTTTTCTTTGGCTTCATCTGATCAGGTTCTCAGATCATGTCATTTCCCATGATGGTTTTAGAGTTAATGGTAGCAGTTACTGCTTTTGGTACCCTCTTCTAGTTTGGGCCTGTGCGTATTATGATTTTAGTAAAGGTTTTTGCCTTTATCCTTCTTTCTAGCCTTTAACTTCCTTTAGGCAAAGGAAAAGTGGCTCAACATCCAGTTCTCCTTCCAGACGGCGAGGGAGCCGGTCGCGGTCCCGCTCCCGCTCCCCTGGTCGGCCACCGAGGGGCTCCCGCCGGTCTGCTTCTGCGTCCCACCAGGCCAACGTTAAGGAAGCAAGGAAGGAAGTGTTGGCAGTTAAATTGACTCCACTGATATTGGTGCTTGTCTTTATCTTTATACAGTATTTTGTCTTCCCCTTTATGTACATATTTCCTCAGATTATTTGCAGTTAATAATATTAAAATGTCAGTGAAACACCGAATCTAACTTTGGAAGAGTACTTAAAAAACAATGTTTGGAATAGTAAGTGTAGTTGTTTTAAATATCAATGAAAAAGAATGTTCTTAAGTTACCAGAAGTGCTGGTTAATATTGTAGTTTTAAAAAAAGCAATGTTTAGGCCGGGCACGGTGGCTCATGCCTGTAATCCTAGCACTCTGGGAGGCTGAGGCAGGCGGATTGCTAAAGGTCAGGAGTTTGAGACCAGCCTGAGCAAGAGCAAGACCCCATCTCTACTAAAGATAGAAAGAAATTAATTGGCCAACTAAAAAAAAAAAGTCAGCTCCCAGGGCATTGATAGACATTTAGTGTTTTTCCTTCTAAATTCCCACTATTATAAACAAGCATTTCTATGCAACATTTGATTATTTCGTTAGGATAGATTCTTACAAGTGGAACTGCTAGGTTAGGTATATAATATAGATTTGAGGCTTTGAATATATATTGCCAGGTTATGTCAAAAAGTTTATACTAGTATCAGTAGTGTATGGATGTATTTTCTTATTCTAAGTATTGTAGTAATTTTTTTTGCCAATGTGATTGTCAAAGATTTTCAAATGACTTGCATTTTGATAATTACTACTGAGTTTGAACACTTTATTAGTGGCTCTCTTTACCAGCCAGATGACTTAGGATAAGGAACAGATGCTGCATGATACTTTCTGTTATACTTTCATTTTTAATATTTAGGGACCGTTATAATTTTACAAGGTAAATCTCCTTACACTCTTATTGATATAAGAGCCACAGTTTGCTTCTTACCATTAGAGCCCTGAGCCTACCATATATACTGCATTAGTACTCACTGTTTCTTTTCTTTTCTTTTTTTTTTTTTGAGACAGAGTCTCATTCTGTTGCCCAGGCTAGAGTGCCACAGCGTCAGCCTAGCTCACAGCAACCAACTCCTGGGCTCATGCGATCCTCCTACCTCAGCCTCCCAAGTAGCTGGGACTACAGGCATGTGCCACCACCCACTGTTTCTTAATTTTCCATTATTGGCTATTTTGAGGCAGTGAGTGTCTTTTCCTCTTTTTTTTTTTTTAACCAGTTAATGTACTGATTTACCAATTTTTACTTTGCCTACTTCTCACTGCAAATATTAATAGAGTATCTGTCAGTGAAATGAAATTATAAACCTGTCTGCTTATTTTACATGAGAGATGAAAGGTTTTATGTAGAAATCTATGTTAATAAATTTGGGAAATTCTAGTCAATTTTATTCTTTTTCTTTTTTAACAAAATGAGGCTGTGAAAGTCTTTAATTAAGGCTGTGAACATCTTTGGCTGATTTTATTGATTGATTTCACAGTAGTAAATTTTTATCATGTTCCTTTTTAATAAGCTATAGTTCTTTTGATTAAAGTGTTTATATTCTTCAATTTAGAAGCCATTTGGAAATAGCATCAGCAGATATAATGGGGAACCCGAGCCCATCAAGAGGAATGACATGCCTCCTAAACACACGCAGGTATGAACGTGTTCACTTTCATCTCTGGTGATTTTTTTTTTCTTTTGTTGAAGTGACTCTCCTTCCAGAAACACATTGAAAATCATAATATTTAATAATCTGTTCTAAAATTCTGTCCTTAAATTAAGACTGAATATAATTTAAGAAATTGATTAGTATACAACTGTATTGAGATGCTGAATTAGTTAATGTGGTAGCATTAGTGGTAAATTTTGATATTTGTTACTTTTTAAAATTTCTAAATAGGAACAGTTCCACTTGTCACAAGAAAGTAGTTATGTACCTACACAGCATAGCCTTCGTCCAAGACGAGAAGAGATCAAATTAAAAGAATTAGATTCTAAGGAAGAAAAACTTGTGACAAAAGTACCTGCATCATTGAGAACCTTTGAAGTGACCCCCTCACCGATGAAGGACTTGGAATTTGGAGGAGTACCTGGTAGGCCTCAGAACCCGGGGCCAGGCAGGCCAGTGGGATGGGCTAGTGGTAGTGGTATAGGGGGACTGGAAAGGCCTCTCTGCGGAAATCTGAGGTAGGCAAGGTAAGAGCCAGGTGGGAACCTGGGAAAGAGCCTTCTAGAGAAGGAATAGTGAGTACAAAGGCCAGAGGTGGGAGCATTTTGGGGAATATGGAGTAGAAAAGATGCCCCTGTGGCTATGTTGAAAACTTTTGGCATTCTGTTCATAGATTTGAAACAAAGAAGTTGAAGAAAGTGATAATAGAAGGGAGTCATGTATAGTAAGTCTGGTGACCTTTTAGAGATAGGGAGATCTGCTAATAAGCAGACGTGAGATGGTGAGATGGTAGGGCCTGGTTTAGGGAGTACCAGTAGCTGTAAGCTGCCTGCATAAAATGGGGTCAAGGTGTCTGCTCTACCTGCTGGACAGGTTGATTATATGTGAGGGTCAAAGATCTGAAGTGTACAAAGCCTTGGAGTGATTAAGTGGGCGGAATTCACGAAATTTTATGAGCTAGTAAAGGAAAATACTTCCTGGCTAAATGGCTAAAAATCCTGCTTAGCTTAAATGCTATGTGTTTTGTAAATTATAATCCTTAGCCAGCTGGTCTGAATCTGTGCACATGTTACATGAATGTGATACTATTTCAATTCTTTGAAGCTTAAAAATAAAATGTTTTTTGTTAAGATTGGAGTGATAATTTTTAGATGTTCTGATCTTTAGTTTCCTGGAGTTTCAAAAACACTTTTGCTCCTCAGTGATTGGAGATTAAGTGTTTTAGAGCTTGGTTTCTGAGGTGGGACTTGGCTGTTCAGTGCTGGACTTCTGCTCATTTACACTCCAGATGCCCAAGGTTGCTTGCCCACTGGCAGTGACAGGTAGAGATAGGAGTTTTGTATGGTGCATTAGAAATTGGTTTCAGACAGCAAGCCAGATCTGAGTTCTGACCTTAAAGAAAAATCAAATGATTCTTAAAATCAATCAATCAATAAATAAATACATAGACTGGATTGAAGTTTGAGCCGTGTGAGTGTTCATTCGTTGTTTGCAGGTGTGTTTCTCATCATGCTTGGCCTGCCTGTCTTCCTCTTCCTGCTGCTGTTGATGTGCAGACAGCGAGATCCCAGTCTTCTGAACTTCCCTCCTCACTTGCCAGCTTTGTATGATTTATGGGAAACCAGAGTATTTGGGGTCTACCTCCTCTGGTTTTTTATTCAAGCTCTGTTCTACCTACTGCCGATTGGGAAGGTAAGTTTTAGTTAGTAAGGCATGGTACTATGAGATTTTCCTCCCCTTTCTTCCATGTTTTACAGTGGTTTTATGGTTAGAAGCTGTTGGTTGTAAGTCCCAAAACTTAGTTTGTTATGCCATTTCTCGTGTGTCCTGTAGCACTGGATTGTTAAGCAGGACTTTAAAAATCTGGTTGATATTTCTTGTGTAACTTTCCAAACCAAATAGAAAAGAATAAGCTATTTTGCAGAGTAGCCTGACTCTTGGTAGAGGTTGCTGGAGAAAAAAAAAATTTCCCTTCAGTATGTGTCATTTCAGGATTTTTCTTTTTTTTTTTTGAGACAGAGTCTCACTTTGTTGCCCAGGCTAGAGTGAGTGCCGTGGCATCAGCCTAGCTCACAGCAACCTCAAACTCCTGGGCTCAAGCGATCCTCTTGCCTCAGCCTCGCGAGTAGCTGGGACTATAGGCATGCGCCACCATGCCTGGCTAATTTTTTCTATATATATTAGTTGGCCAATTAATTTCTTTCTATTTATAGTAGAGACGGGGTCTCATTCTTGCTCAGGCTGGTTTCGAACTCCTGACCTCAAGCAATCCGCCCGCCTTGGCTTCCCAGAGTGCTAGGATTACAGGCGTTAGCCACCCTGTCCCGCCTGGCCCAGATACAGGATTTTAAATGGTTAATTGATAGGCTGCTGAGCTCAATGGACTTTTTATCTTTTACTTTTTTAAAAAATGTGAGTTTATAATTTTTATCTCTTTCAAAAATTTGTTGTCAAGAACATTTTATGTTCTTTTCAAATTCATACAATATTTCACTTTTGTCTCCATTGCTAAGTATAGTTTTTTCTTCTTTCAGTAGAATACTTTCCTTGGATATGTTTAAAGAAACATGAGATTCCCTAAGCAATGAATAATTTATTTAAAGATCTTATTCTTAGGGCTTTGCAAGTTTGCCAACTGTCTGTAAACCAAAGGATCAGTTTTACTGCGAGTGGCAAATGCCAATGAAAGAAGGATAGAGTGGCAAGCTTAAATACTGTGGCATGTCACCATAACTTTAGCAGCTCCAACAAGGGTTTTTTTGTTTTGTTTTGTGATACAGGCTTTGGTCGTTTTTCTGATAAGGCTCTATAGTTAAGTTCAGATTAATTTAGGGTAAGGGTATTTAGATAATATTAAGAAAAGCAGTTCTGGTTGTTAAAAATCATATATGTATATATTCACAAAGTGACTAAAAATATATATATATAAATATATATTATACAGTTTTCTCTTGCTATCGTTGGGGTATTGGGTCCAGGACCTCCCACAGGTGACAAAGTCTGAGGATGCTTCAATCTCTGATATAAAATTGGATAGTATTTGCATATAACCTATGCACATCATCTTTGTATACTTTAAATTACCTCTAGGTTACTTAAAATACCTAATACAGGCTGTGCAAGGTGGCTCATGCCTGTAATCCTAGCACTTTGGGAGCCTGAGAAGGGAGGATCACTTGAGCTCAGGAGGAGGATCACTTGAGCTCAGGAGTTTGAAACCAGCCTGAGCAAGAGCAAGACCCCGTCACTACTAAAGATAGAAAAATTAGCCAGGTGTGGTGGCATGAGCCTATAGTCCCAGCTACTGGGGAGACTGAGGCAGGAGGATTGCTTGAGCCCAGGAAGTTAAGGTTGCAGTAAGCTGTGATGATGCCACTGCACTCTAGCCCAGGTGGGTGATGGAGCAAGACTGTGTCAAAAACAACAATGACAAAAATACCCCCAACCCAATATAATGTAAATGCTGTGTAAATAGTTATTACGTGCATTGTTTAGGAGAGTAATGACAAGAAAAAAAGTCTGCACATGTTCAGTACAGGTATAATCTGAATATTTTTGATGTGTGATTGTTTGAATCCATGGAGGTGGAACCCATGGATATGGAGGGCTGGCTGTATATATGTACGTATATATTTACAGGCTAATGTCCAGCAGAGTATTTTCCAGACATCCTTAATAGATAAGGATCATCTGAAATTAGCGTGTGGGATTTTGTTAATCCTGTGATCTCAAACAGGTTTTACATTTCTCCTCTTGGGAGAAGAGAAAATGCTGGCTGCTGAAAGGCAGATGATACTGTATTAGTATTTTACAGTTTTTCTTTTTTTGAAGCAGAGTCTCACTATGTTGCCCGGGCTAGAGTGCCATGGCGTCAGCCTAGCTCACAGCAACCTCAAACTCCTGGACTCAAGCAATCCTTCTGCCTCAGCCTCCTGAGTAGCTGGGACTACAATTTTTTCTATGTATTTTTAGTTGTCCAATTAATTTCTTTCTATTTTTAGTAGAGATGGGGGCTCACTCTTGTTCAGGTTGGTTTTGAACTCCTGACCTTGAACAATCCACCCGCCTCAGCCTCCCAGAGTGCTAGGATTACAGGTGTGAGCCACCGCGCCCGGCCAGTATTTTATAGTTTAAAATGAACTGCTACATTTCTGAGTAGTTACCTTGGGGAGTAAAATGTGGCTGTCATTGGGCAAGTGGACTTTTTACTCAGTTAGGTCAAGTCTGTGTTTCTTGAGTACCTTTCCTATGGGTATCACTGCTCAATGCTGTGGGTGAGGCCAGCTTAAGAGGTGAGATGGTCTTGATCCATGAAGCTGCCTCACATTCTCTTATTGGAGGTAAAAGAAATTCATGAAATGGTTAAGTACTCGATGCGCATATATGTATAAATAGCAGAGCAAGTAAGTATATGAGTATGGGTCATCAAATAGCATGTGGGCCCTAGTAGATTGGGTAAGTGGGGTAGAGCCCGAATGAAGAGGACCTCATAAGTGGAAGACAATAGAGTCATACTCTATATTGTAAGCAGTGGGAAGCCACTACAGATTTTTGAGCTGGGGATTCATTAGATATAAAGGTATTTTAAGCACATTTAGTTTTGTGGTGGTACCAGGGGTGGTTTGAAGGGAGGGTGACTGTTGCAATAGTCTCGGGACTATATTGAGAAGTTATTATCAGATTTGTATTTAAGATAAATTCCTGAAGGTGGAATTGCTTCATCAAAGGGCTTGCAATTAAGGTTTTTGAAACATGTTTCTAAATTTCTCTACTTCAAGAGATCTTCCTTCTTGGGCATGTTGAAATTTACATGATGTTGGAAGATATTTATATATGAAATGGTGTTATGTTTTTTACATTAAAATTTTTTTTTCTTTTAAGGTTGTAGAAGGAATGCCTCTTATTGATGGAAGAAGACTCAAGTATAGATTAAATGGTAACTTTTTTTTGTTTTAGAATTCTTTTTTTTTTTTTTTTTTGGAGACAGAGTCTCACTTTGTTGCCCAGGCTAGAGTGAGTGCCATGGCGTCAGCCTAGCTCACAGCAACCTCAAACTCGTGGGCTCAAGCAATCCTCCTGCCTCAGCCTCCCAAGTAGCTGGGACTATAGACATGTAACACCATGCCCGACTAATTTTTTCTATATATATTAGTTGGCCAATTAATTTCTTTCTATTTATAGTAGAGACGGGTCTCATTTTTGCTCATGCTGGTTTCGAACTCATGACCTCAAGCAATCCGCCTGCTTGGGCCTCCCAGAGTGCTAGGATTACAGGCACTGCAAGCCCGGCTGGTTTTAGAATTCTTATGTAAATAACAGCTATCTCTTTTCTGTGTTTGGCTGTTTATTCAAATATGATTTGGCCACTCACTTGGAGCTCTTTAGGCAAAACTATTTCTATAGCCAAAAGAAAAAATGGGTAGTCCACTGAGCCTCTCTCTGTGTTGGTTGGTGGCAGCAGGGCTGGCTGGAGACAAGAGCTCCTCCCTTGGAGCCTGTGGTGGTGCTTTTCAACTTGGCAGTGCCTGTGTGTTCCCTCACAGCCCCTGAGAGTTCCCGCATGGCCTGCCTGCCCCCCGGGCTTTTGTGATGGGGCCTCTGCTCTGAGGGTGGGGTCTTGAGGTCTAGGTTCGGGATGGTAGAATGTACCTAGAATCTTGAAACCATTATTGACAAGTTAGTTCAAGTATAACTACTCATAACTATATAGCCACCACGTTTACCGTGTCATGAGATAAAATAACATTATGTGTACTTGGCCCAGCTCTGTTAACAATTAGTTATTTGACTTTGCCCCTGAGAGTTTGCATTATATAAATTTTGAGGTTCTTTTCAGTTTTTTTAACAGTTAGTGAATTTCTGTTTACATTCTTTCAGCTTTCCCTTAATTAAAAGCAGATAATGACCATTTGAACTGAAAAATAGTAACTTAAAATATTTGAAAAATTATATAGGAGATATGGTATCTGTATTGAAGATTATACTGTGGGGCATTGCTTATTTGCATATGTGTGTATTTAATCTGAATAATGAAACTTAAGACTGTAAAGGTAACATTGCATTGTTCTGTAATGGTATAATGGGTTAATGTTAATCCCCCTTCCCTTTTTTTTTTTTCTAAAGGGTTCTATGCCTTTATCCTGACGTCTGCGGTCGTTGGAACATCTCTCTTCTGGGGTGTAGAGCTTTCTTACGTGTATAGTCATTTTCTGCAGTTTGCACTTGCAGCCACTGTCTTTGCTGTGGTCTTGAGTGTTTATCTCTATGCACATTCTTTGAAAGCACCCAGGAGTGAACTGTCGCCTGCCAGCTCTGGTGAGCAGTGGTAAATCGCATGTTGGATGAATGCATCCCAGAGCCCTCCAGCAGCCATTTCTAGACTTGAGTAGATTGCTTTTTTCCTAACTTCATTTTATGGGACATGAAGAGAAATAAGAAAAAATAAAAAGATGAAGAAAAAAGTTAAAGAAAAATGAGTTTAAAGGAAGAAAATATTTTTTATTTTTCCTTCATACTTTCCTGTTCATTTCTGTTCCTTTTTTAGTCACTTGATGACAGTAAGACATTTAGTAAACTTTACAGGCACCACAGATTTATGACAAATAGTATTTTTTTATTCAAAATAGTGAACACCCTTTAAAATACAAAAGCAAAACAAATTGGTTGATTCTGACCTAATGTATTTAAACATTTAAAAAAAGTAGTTACTTTAAAAAATTATGAGTGTAAAATTAAAAAAGATTCCAGTTCCCTTAAAATTGGGGGAATCTAGGCCTCTGGACTCCTAAAGGGTATAGCAGCTGCCTTGTAGCTGGGGCGGGCACCCTTTGACTCCCTTAGTCTGTGCCGTTCCCTCTCACCTGTCCCCACCAGCCCTTGGGCCCTCGTAGGCAGTTGGATTGTGAACCGTGGACAGTAGGCAACAGTGCAGTTTTAAAGCCTCATTACTGGGTTTGGAACGCTGTTTGGGTAAAAACTTTTCCCTTCTCAGGAAATGCTGTCTATGATTTCTTCATTGGCCGTGAATTAAATCCTCGAATTGGTACTTTTGATCTCAAATACTTTTGTGAATTGCGCCCCGGATTGATTGGATGGGTATGTCTTTTTTTTTTTTTTTTTTTAATTTCAATTCAGTAGTTCAAATTAATCTCAGGGAAGAAATGTAGATAATTTACAAATAAAGCAGTGGAAGGTATATTTTTAGGGATAATAGTAGCTTTCCATAAATCTATCTCTTTAATACAAAATATTTTCTTACTGGAAATATTTTCCAGAGGTTTAAGATGTTCTCTTATAGGTTATAAAAATGGAAGAGTTTTTCCTGGTTTTACTTTTATTATATCAGTTTATATTTGTGTAGGAAAGTGATAGTGTAGATGAATTAATGTAAGAAAAAATGTATTTTCCTTTTCTTTTTAAAAACCTTTACTTTTACCTAATTTTAGATTGTAGGAGAGTTATAAAAATAGAGCAGAGAGTTCCCTTACATCCTTCATCCTGCTTCATATGATGTTAACATCTGACATAACCACAGCATTAACATAATGATCAACAACAAATTAACATTGCAGCAGTGTTAACTAAATCCATAGACTTTGAGTTTCACCAGTTTTTCCACTATTGTCCTGTTTCTGTTCCACAATCCTCTACAAGATCCTACAATGCATTTAATTATTTCTTTTTAGTGTCCTCTAGTCTGTTAGAGTTATTTAGTCTTTCCTTGTCTATCATGACCTTGACACTTTTGGAAGAGTACTGGTCAGTGTGTCCCTCAATTTGGGTGAGTCTGCTGTTTGCCTACAGTTGGAGTGTGGCTATGCGTTGTGGCGAGACTACCACAGAAATGATGCACACCTTCTCAGGACGGCGTGTTGAGATGTCTTCTTCCTGGTGGTGGGTCCCTGTTAAGGTGGCATCAGGTTTCTCAGCCGTGAAGTTCCTGCTTTCCCTTGTAGTCTCACATCTCTAGGGAGGTACTTGGAGACTATATTCTCTCTTATTTCAGGTGGTTATCAACTTGGTGATGCTTCTGGCTGAAATGAAAGTACAGGGACGTACAGCTCCATCCTTGGCCATGATTTTGGTTAACAGTTTCCAGCTCCTATACGTGGTGGATGCTCTCTGGAATGAGGTAATTCATTTTAAGAGCCAAGCCTTGGAGTCAGCCAGCCTTGAGTGTGGGTGAGTGACGCGACCTGTCAGAGCCTCAGCTTCTTCACACAAAACAAGGGAGAAACAGCCTGCCCCACGGCCTGTTGTGAGGAGGACAGAGATGCTGGTCCGTGTGGGGCATGCAGCCAAGCAGTGAGCTCTGACAGGTGGGAAGTTTCTAGGCATTTGGTAGTGCTTCTGTGTGTATCAGCAGCTCTTTTTTTTTTTTTTTTTTTTTTTGAGACAGAGTCTCGCTTTGTTGCCCAGGCTAGAGTGAGTGGCGTGGCGTCAGCCTAGCTCACAGCAACCTCAAACTCCTGGCTCAAGCAATCCTCCTGCCTCAGCCTCCCAAGTAGCTGGGACTACAGGCATGCGCCACCATGCCCGGCTAATTTTTTGTATATATTAGTTGCTTTCTATTTATAGTAGAGACAGGGTCTTGCTCTTGCTCAGGCTGGTTTCGAACTCCTGACCTTGAGCAATCCGCCCGCCTCAGCCTCCCAGAGAGCTAGGATTACAGGCGTGAGCCACCGCGCCCGGCAGCAGCTCTTTTATTTAAAACTAATATTCTAAATATGTAAGATCAGTGGATCTTGGCTTTATTTTTGTGAGTGGTGACCAATTCATATAAATAAAATTTAATTCCTTATTATGGCACATGGAAGTGGGCAAATGAGGATGGTGTTTTTTGGATTGTCAAGAGGCAGCTAGTTCTTAAATAATGGGGGAGATCTTTTATTGTTAGTATTTCAAAACCCAAAGAGTAGCCCTAATTAGATGAATATAAAATCAGAAATCAAGATACACTGAGGAAACCAGTTTAACTAGAGCTAAGTTTCCAACTCATGACTTTTCTCAGATATTGATAAGTTGTTAAGTCTACTACTTGAAGACTGATGAATGTTTTGTTTATTTTCTCTGCCTCAACTAAACATACTTTTAAAAGCCATTTGTTCTTCAAGCCTGTTTTATAACTATTTTATCATATTTACTATTATCTCTATAATCATCTCCAAATTACAAATCCAGTTTTCTTTGAATTTTAAAAGCCAAATTGGCAACTCTACGTCATAGTGTTCCAAAACAAGTTTTTAAGATGGTCTGTTGAGACAGCCTGTTGACATTTTGAGAGAAGGCCCCTTTGCTTTGAGTCTGAGGCATTTTTAAAAAACTGTATTATTTGGTCATTTTCTCTCCCGTGCCCCACCAGGTTGGTCTTCAGTTTTGGTCTTCTATGCAAGACCACAGAGAATATTTAGTTAGGACAACTTTGAAAGTTTGATATTTTGGTGATCTTCCTGTTCTTTAGGAGAATTAGGACCTCTTTGAGGTAAATATACATTAATTTTGAGTAGCTGGGTTAGTGTTATCCACTGATCATGGATTAGGTTCTTGTGCTCCTGGCTCAGAGCTTGGAGAGAGTGGTGAGAACATCTGATATTGAAGTCTCCTAGAAATTCCGTATCTACCCAAAATTAAACATGCTTTTGAAATTAAAAACCAACTCTTTTGTAAATGCACTTAGTAGGCTTATCTGCTGTTATATAATAAATGGCTCCTCAGGAGCATGTGGGTTACATTTTACAAGTCAAATGATATTTCACTATTGTTTTATCACCTCAGAGACTTTTTTAAACCTATTTCTTCACTAGCTTTCCAGTCATCAGTGATTATTCCTTCTGGTTTCTTCCTTCTAGCTTTCTTTCACGTGGTAGTCAAGTTCATATTTTGTATAGATTTAGCCAAGCATTGACTTCGGTTAACAGAAAATGCTTGCATCTTAAGGAAAAGCTCTCAAGGCTATATTAACATAGCCCCACACGTAGAGGATTGGAGTTGGGAAGTTTTTTCTGTCTAATCAGTATCTCAACCAGAGGAAGCGATTTGATTTTATGATTTTTTTTTTAGCATCTGGCATGCCACTGGGCAGTTTAGTAGATGGTTTATAACCTTCTTATTAGGTCCTGTGGTAGAATTCTCCTCTATATTGAAGAATGTGCTATACCTTAAGAAAACGGGGAATGCCAGTTTATCTAGGAATGACCCTTCCTCTGAGCCTTACCTGCAAATACCTTGAGGCTCCAGGAGCTGGGTGGGGCTGAGGGTCCTACCCCCACTTGGCACCAAATTCGGACACTTTGTCCCTTCTCACCGCTCTCTGCCCTTGCTGTTATCTCTGCTTCTGTTTCATCTGCTCCTGTCTTTTTATCACTTTTGTCCTGTTTTGGACCAGGAAATCAGATCACAGGTTTTAAGAGTTTATGTGTGTAAGAATAAGCACTCTCAGGAACAGAAAATTCTCATTCTGTATGTTCTCATTCATATGTGAAAGCTAAAAAAAGGTTGATCTCATAGAAGAAAAAATATAACAGGATACTAGAGGCTGGGAAGGTGGGGGGTGGGTATGCTAATTATCCTGATCTGATCATTGTACATTGTGTGTATTGCAACATTACTGTGTGCCCTAAATATGTATAATTATCCTGTGTCAATATGTAAAATTATGGAAAAAGCGAATAAGGTGCTCTGTTGTCTAAGGAGTGTGAGCCTAAGGGCCTAGGTTTTGTGACATCAGTTTTTCTGTTTTCTGTTATATGTAGAATTTGATTTTCTGTTCTTTGTGACAGCTGGTTTTCTGTTCCATGCTGTCTTTGCTTTCTTTCTGGAAAAAAATACTCTTTGGAGGTACTAATCTTTTTCTTTAACCTAGAACTTTGATTCTTTAACAGAGCTTATCCTAGCTAATTTTTCAACATCATTGGTATACACAAAAGTCAGAGGCAGTTTAGAGACTCCCTCAGGCCAGATCTTACGAGTTTTGACCATTGTGGTATCCCCATATTCCAGAGTCCTGCCTGCAGATGTCTAGGTACAGAGGTGATTGGCTTATGCTAACCAGATCACGAGAGGGTAATGCACTTTTATGAATTTACACGAGAAGTGAAGCACCATGTTGCCAGGTAGCAGCTTATTTTCTTCTGTGGAAAATCTACATGAAAAGCCAGAGTATGATCAGAAATTAGGTTGGTGCACACAGAATTAAAACGAAGGGAGTTGGAGATCTTATTCCTTCAGGAAACATATGTAGAGCACTTTTCCCATGGCAGGTAGTGTGCTGGGGTCACAGAGGTGAAAACACATGGTCCCCATCTTTCAGAGGCATTAGTCCAGTGGAGAGAGACACGGTTTCTGTGACCTGCTGCTGGGTGCTGGCATCTGAGAAGTGCCCAGGTCTGATGGGGAGAGGCTCACGCTGAGGTTGGAGGGGGATGCCAGGCAGAGGGAGGGCCAGGCAAAGCAGGGAGGTGTGAGGCATTTTGGAGATTTGTTCTCTTGGGTGCATGGGGTGAGAGGCTGGAGTGACAGGAGAATGTGACAGCAGATGACCTAGTGTGATATACAGGCCAGGGGAACCAGATCTCCCCTTCCTTAAAAAAAAATGTTAGTTGGTGACCTGTCCATAGCCCTTATACATTTGCTTCTAAACTAGTGCTTTATTTGAATACTTTAAAAATAGAAACTTTTTCTCCCTTTCCTCCATCTATCTTTATAGGAAGCATTGTTGACAACCATGGACATCATCCACGACGGCTTTGGATTCATGCTGGCTTTTGGAGATTTAGTGTGGGTTCCGTTTATCTACAGCTTCCAAGCCTTTTACTTAGTCAATCACCCAAATGAAGTGTCTTGGCCAGTGGCTTCACTAATAATTGTTCTGAAACGTGAGTATGAATTTTGGTCTCTGTGTATAAAATATTATGTACTGAGTTTGTGCTCTGGTACCTGTGTATTTGTAACTTACCATTTTCACTGGTCACAGCTCAAGTTGGATGTAATTTGTGATGAACGAGTAATAAAAAGATTCTGCTTCTTTTAAAGAGAATGGGTAGTTCATACTTGGGTTCCTCAGTAGTTCTCTAAACAGATTATTTTAAACAAACCATCTTGTTTTTAAATTTAATGAATTTAATAAATTTGTTTTAGTAATGGTTTATCTTTTCTATTGAGTGCCTGCTTTTTCTGGTAGGCATCTTGCAAAGTAGGAGGATCAGTGTTGCCTTCATAGAGCTCATTTGTGCTGTGTGTGGCATGAGGAGTGTGGGTGCTGATGAGGGGGACTGAGAGATGGTGGGAGTTTAAGGTAAAGAACTCTCTGGGGAATGTCAGTGTAAACTTACTGGAGGGTATGGCATTTGATCTGAGTTTTAGTGGGTAAAAATGGGATATAGATACATAAGTCAAGCATAGGGAACAACTCAGCAAGGGTGAATGGGACATGGAAAATGAAGTTGGAAGAGAATGAGGAGTCCAGTTTGGCTGCAGCGAAAGTCCATGAGGGTCATTTGCGGATTTTGCTTCAGGATGATTTTTCTTTATCCTTTTGTTATTACACTGTTTATAACCACCACCAGAGGCTGGGTAGGGAAAATTAGCTTTGAACTTCACATACACCTAGTTTTGCTTTACTAATTAGTATTTGTGGTAGAAGAAATTCAAATCACTGGCTAAAATTAAGATTTAGTTTCACCATTGGTTGGGTTATCCGTGTCAGCAGTGCTCATGTGGTATTCAAGACAGTGTAATTTACAGTTCAGCTAAAAGTGGGAGTGTCTTATCCGTTTTGTGCTGCTCAGATAATACCTGAGACTGAGTAATTTTAAATGAACAGAAATTTACTTGGCTCATGGACCTGGAGGCTGGGAAGGCCACGAGCTTGGTGGCATCCCATGGCAGAAGGCAGAAGGGCAAGAGAGGGTGAGAGGGAGAGAGAGCAAGAGGGCGCCAAACTCATTTTTATAACAAACCCACTCCCGTGATAGGGACATTAATCCATTCTCTTAAAGGTCCCACCTCTCAATACCGCTGTGTTGGGGAGTAAGTTTCCAACACATGGACTTTGGGGGACACATTCAAACCATAACAGGAAGTAGTTATTTATTACTTTATTGATGACTGACAATATAATAGTTACTAGTCAATGATGTATATGTCAAGGTTTGTTGATTTTGACATTTTGAAATTTAAATAAAGTTACAAACTTACAGGCGTGCAGTGGGATTCAGCATATATTTAAAGTACTAGATGTTCCTGGTACTGCTTCTAAGCTTGCTTAATTCTAAGTTTGCTTAATCAAGTATTGTGCCATGGCAGTAGGTATCATAAATAGCAGATGAGATGAATAGCCTGTAACTTTTATTATACTGCGCTCTAGTATTGATTTTTATTGTGTTGTGAGCGGTATTCGATTTTATTTTTTTCACAGATGTAACTACATTTGTTAGTTTTGCCTTTAAGGTATTCCCTAGGTGGATGGTGAAAGTAGTATGATAGTAAGATTTCAGAAGAGTTATTATCTTTTTACATTCTAGAATTGAGAGTTTCCTAAGAGAAATTACAGATGCTCTTAAGTATTAGATTGTCTCTAAATTATTCACATAGAAAAATATTTTTAAATTACAGTTTGTGGATACGTAATCTTCCGATGTGCAAATTCTCAGAAAAATGCATTCCGGAAAAATCCCAGTGATCCAAAGCTTGCACGTAAGTATTGATTTATATTTATGTTATATATATTACGTGAAAATTTCATGTCTCTTTTGGTTTAGAGATTATTAAAAATGTATTTTTATTTTTATATAGATCTAAAAATCATTCATACTTCAACGGGAAAAAGTCTTCTGGTTTCTGGTTGGTGGGGCTTTGTTCGCCACCCCAATTACTTGGGTGATCTCATCATGGCTCTGGCATGGTCCCTCCCGTGTGGTAAGCATTTCAGGAGAGTGCTCATTTCCTTCAGCCACCTGAAAGATGTGTGTATGTGTGTGTGTGTGTGTGTCCTTTGTTGGGACTGTGTGGGTAGGTCAGTGTGAGTCTTCCTGTCGCCCTGCTGTAGGTTGGGGTTGGCCTGAGGGCTGTTTTCTTGTGTATGCAGCACCTCATTTATCCAGCTTCTAAGGGGAATTGGGGATTCTCAGAGCCTGATGTTTTACTTTAAACTTCTGAAAGCAAAATGTTAAGTTTGCAACTGTGCCTGATAGCTTTTCTCTAAGTAGAATTTGTAGAAATTAATTTTTTACTCATGACTTAAGTGTATTTAGATTCTGAAAACTTTGGTACTTAATAAGAAGAGAAGGAAATTCTGTGTGTGTGTCTGTCCCACCCTGAGGGAGCTGTGGCAGCTAGCCTGTGCCTGCTCCTGGTGTGTTGCGTCCCAACTCACAATGGAGAATGGCAGTTTTTCTTCTTCACCGAGAAGGCAAGAGGACAAGAAATGGAGAAATGTGAGGACAGATGTTGTGATTGCGATGGATTGTTAGAATGGACTAATCACTCTTCTCTGAATTGCTTTTAATTTAGATACTACCTTCTGCCACACACCAGTGGGGTTTTTATGGGTCAGTTTTTCACATTGGAGAAAATGAAATAATCTTGTGGTTCATTTTTAGAGAATTTGGGGGACAGCAGGAAGAAAATAGTGTGTAGTGAAAAATAGCTAATACTTTTTACTGTTGTTACCCACAGGTTTTAATCACATTCTGCCTTATTTCTATGTGATTTATTTCACCATGTTGCTTGTGCACCGAGAAGCCCGTGATGAGCGCCACTGTAAGAAGAAGTACGGCGTGGCTTGGGAAAAGTACTGTCAGCGTGTGCCCTACCGTATCTTTCCATACGTTTATTGATTCTGGTCTGGCATATTTTTAAAATATTCCTATTGTTCTGGCTGCCATTGCAAAAACAAGAAAAAAGTCCAAAACTAAATTTCTTTTGTGCACTGACAGGATGTATAAATTTATTTTTCCTGAGTCAGGACTAGAGAGCCAAGTAGTAGATTTTTTAATATCGCCATGTTTATTTTTATTAAATTATAATTAACATAAGGAAAAATACAAATAAGGATGTTAGATTTGCATTTTAAGAGGAAATTTTCAGTCCTTAAAAATCTGAAAACAGAAAACAGTCTTATAAATGCACTATAAAGAATACTATTGATGTATATGGCTTTTGATTATTTTTCAAATTTTGATTTTTTTTCTCTTGCCAGGTTTTTCTTGAATGAAAACACTGGTACATTTAAAATTTATTAGTTATGTAATTTTGAAAGTAAAAACTGGGCCTATATTAAATGCTATATGTGAAGAGTGATGAAAGATTATTATCGGACACTGTTTAAGGGAGACTGTTAGTTGGCTTAACCTCACCTTCTTAAACTGCATTTGAAAATATAAATACATAGCTTACTTTATGTACTATATGGTGACTTCACATTTTTCTGTACAGTATTTTGAATGTGGGATGATTATCAGGACTATCTTTTTAATAAAAACATTTTCAGTATTTTAAATTAAGTTTTGTAAAGTAATGCATGTGAATTAAAAATTTTGAAAAAATTAGAATTCATTTAATATTATATAGATGATGCTGTTAAAACACAGGAAGGATATTTTTCTTAATCCAAAGTTTGTGAATTTGGCTTTGCTACCTCAGTTGCAGGTGTTTTTTTGCCTTTATAAACTATTGCAAGTAGAAAAAAATAGAATAAATATATATATTTTGGAGTAACATCAGTATTTAAACATTTTTACACAGATTGGTGTTTGAAAAAATTTGCCATTTCAGGCTAATATTTTTGTATATTTTTGAGTTTTTAAAAATTCAACAGTGTTTTTACTACTGTTTAGCTCATGCAGTTTATACTGCATTTTTTGTGTATCTTTTATATTTACAAAACTTTACTCCCTGTAAAGGAATGCCGTCTAAAAACAACTTAAGGGCTTAAAATCATTTCTTTCAGTGTAATAAATGTGCTTTAGCCATTAAATTCTAGTGAAGTTGATATTAATTGTCCTATGACGGAACAGTAAGCAAATTCAGTAAACTTTTATGTTCAGAGTTAAATTGTTCTCAGTACCTTAAGTGTATGTTTAGATTTTCATCATACATTTTCTCTATGAGCCATTTAGATATGCAGTGTTCAGTCTGAACTGCAATTTGAAGTGTATGTGACTTAGTTTATGTTAGTGTGATCATGAAGTTAGTCTGCTGTAGCATTCTTCATCCTATAATCTTCTAAACATCGTTTAGTGAAATTGTCATTGTTTTATTAGTGCTGATGTGTGCAAGCAGTTTTTTAATTTTGCTTTTCTCCTGGCATCAGAAAGTGGTGTTCTAGCACATTCTATACTAGATTCACCAAGGAAGCTTTGGGGGAGGAAGGAATTCTTCCTCCCCCATTCTTTCCCTGGCAATGAAAGAGCCTTTCCCTGGCAATAAGAGCCTGTTATCAACACAATTTCTGGATATCAGCTACAGTTTGTTTTTAATTTTGTTTTTGACATGTTTATTTGACAAGTTTTGTAATGAAGTTTTAAGTTAGAAATAAAGTTGAAAATAAAATATTACTTTGATCACTTTGGAGCCTTATTTTTGTTTTTTAATTTTTTGCCTGCAACTCTGGGATTATTGGGACCAAGATAGGAGTCCTTAGATTACTCCCACCCAAGCTCCTGTGTTTTAGGATCATTTTCTTGGGACCCTCTTGGACCACAGGGAGTCCAAAAGGCACACTGGGCCCCCTGGCTACCCGCTTTGTATATTGAGCTTGAAGGGGTTTGTTGGGAGTCCAAATTCCCAGAAAATGGTCATATGTTTAGTAGTTGCAATTTGAGAAAATAGAGAAATGCTAAAAAAAACTTAGTTATTTTTAAAAACTTTTCAAAAATTCAAAAATTATACTTTCAAACGAATTATTAATCACAGAAGCTTCTATGTGCATTTGAAAGATAGTACATGTGTCCGAGACATTTTTGTGTCTGCCATTTTGTGGTGTTTGCTTGAGTTTCTAGTTTAAGTCTGAGCTTTTTTTTTTTTTTTTTTTTTGAGACAGAGTCTCGCTTTGTTATCCAGGCTAGAGTGAGTGCCGTGGCATCAGCCTAGCTCACAGCAACCTCAAACTCCTGGGCTCAAGCAATCCTCCTGCCTCAGCCTCCCGAGTAGCTGGGACTACAGGCATGAGCCACCATGCCCGGCTAATTTTATATATATATATCAGTTGGCCAATTAATTTGTTTCTATTTATAGTAGAGACGGGGTCTCGCTCTTGCTCAGGCTGGTTTTGAACTCCTGACCTTGAGCAATCCGCCCGCCTCAGCCTCCCAAGAGCTAGGATTACAGGCGTGAGCCACCGCGCCCGGCCTAAGTCTGAGCTTTGAGATGAGATCAGATAGCATTATCTGAATGTCTCTTCCTGGCACGATGTTACATTGGGGCATTACAATGCAGAAGGTGGGTGAGCCAGAATATGCACCAACACCAAGCAGGCTAAAAATATATGTGATTTATACTACAAATTCTACTTAGAAAAAAGCTATCAGGCACAGTTGCAAACTTAACATTTTGCTTTCAGAAGTTTAAAGTAAAACATCAGGCTCTGAGAATCCCCAATTCCCCTTAGAAGCTGGATAAATGAGGTGCTGCATACACAAGAAAACAGCCCTCAGGCCAACCCCAACCTACAGCAGGGCGACAGGAAGACTCACACTGACCTACCCACACAGTCCCAACAAAGGACACACACACACACACACATACACACATCTTTCAGGTGGCTGAAGGAAATGAGCACTCTCCTGAAATGCTTACCACACGGGAGGGACCATGCCAGAGCCATGATGAGATCACCCAAGTAATTGGGGTGGCGAACAAAGCCCCACCAACCAGAAACCAGAAGACTTTTTCCCGTTGAAGTATGAATGATTTTTAGATCTATATAAAAATAAAAATACATTTTTAATAATCTCTAAACCAAAAGAGACATGAAATTTTCACGTAATATATATAACATAAATATAAATCAATACTTACGTGCAAGCTTTGGATCACTGGGATTTTTCCGGAATGCATTTTTCTGAGAATTTGCACATCGGAAGATTACGTATCCACAAACTGTAATTTAAAAATATTTTTCTATGTGAATAATTTAGAGACAATCTAATACTTAAGAGCATCTGTAATTTCTCTTAGGAAACTCTCAATTCTAGAATGTAAAAAGATAATAACTCTTCTGAAATCTTACTATCATACTACTTTCACCATCCACCTAGGGAATACCTTAAAGGCAAAACTAACAAATGTAGTTACATCTGTGAAAAAAATAAAATCGAATACCGCTCACAACACAATAAAAATCAATACTAGAGCGCAGTATAATAAAAGTTACAGGCTATTCATCTCATCTGCTATTTATGATACCTACTGCCATGGCACAATACTTGATTAAGCAAACTTAGAATTAAGCAAGCTTAGAAGCAGTACCAGGAACATCTAGTACTTTAAATATATGCTGAATCCCACTGCAAGCCTGTAAGTTTGTAACTTTACTTAAATTTCAAAATGTCAAAATCAACAAACCTTGACATATACATCATTGACTAGTAACTATTATATTGTCAGTCATCAATAAAGTAATAAATAACTACTTCCTGTTATGGTTTGAATGTGTCCCCCAAAGTCCATGTGTTGGAAACTTACTCCCCAACACAGCGGTATTGAGAGGTGGGACCTTTAAGAGAATGGATTAATGTCCCTATCACGGGAGTGGGTTTGTTATAAAAATGAGTTTGGCGCCCTCTTGCTCTCTCTCCCTCTCACCCTCTCTTGCCCTTCTGCCTTCTGCCATGGGATGCCACCAAGCTCGTGGCCTTCCCAGCCTCCAGGTCCATGAGCCAAGTAAATTTCTGTTCATTTAAAATTACTCAGTCTCAGGTATTATCTGAGCAGCACAAAACGGATAAGACACTCCCACTTTTAGCTGAACTGTAAATTACACTGTCTTGAATACCACATGAGCACTGTTGACACGGATAACCCAACCAATGGTGAAACTAAATCTTAAAATTTTTTTTAGTTTTGTAGTGTTTGGAAAAAATGAAGTAAAGCATTTTAACAAAAGATACAAGGCAGGTCCTACTAGGTGCAATTCACTTGCCTATAGACAGTACAGTTTCCTATTAAGCTAGTTCTGGGTTTAAGGCCCCCCTGCCCCGCTCCCCTCTGTACTAGAATGAACTATTTGACCTTTATCTGTGTACACGTTCCAGGTTGTGCTGACCTGTGCTACAGCCTAACCATAGGGACCTTGCACGTCAGGTCTTATATGCTTAGAATAAAAAGCAGCTGGAAGATTCCCCTACAGGCTGAAGTTTGCACATACAGATGAAAAAAAGAGACTGTCCAGTCTGGCTGAACACACAAATGCTTTTATGAAGGGTGTTTTATGACATACATGTGAATATCTAACATATAAATTTGATTAGAGTAAAAAATTAAAATGCTTGGTATGGAAATTAATTTTTCATTCATTCTTCTCACACAGCAATGCAACTTGCATTGTGATCCAGTGACTAGGAGGTTTCTTTGTTGATAAATGCACTGATGTTAAACAGTTTGTTGATAAACCAGTAGTTGCCAAAATTCTTGACCTCTCAGGTGTCTGATAAACTGGGCATTCAAAGGTATAGAGGTCTGAATCTGTCTGGTTAGAAGCATTTGGTGTTTCAGTAGAAATCTTAAAAAAAAAAAAATCCAATAGTTAAATTGCATAGTTCAGGCAAATCAGTAGCTCACATTTTCTATATGCTAGGTTTGGGGGATTTGTTATGAATTAAATACCTTTAAAGTTAGATGGTTAACTGTATATGGAAATTATGACTGGAGAATTTAAAGAGCAATTATGGCATATTCTTGAGAAATAACATTGCATCTTAGTATAGCATCTATTTTAGATTTTAGTAATGTTTTGGGCTGTTGTAAATGTTTGTTGTCTGAAGTATATGATCAGATCTCCCTTGTGAAATCGGAGGGAACGGTGATAGAACAAATGGTTTGTGTTACTGAGGGAAAGCTCAGACATTTAGGACTTGGTGACAGATAGTTGGGTGTTTACCTTTGTTGGCAAAAAGTATATAACAGGAAAATCACAACACAATTCAAGAGGCAGTGAGTCTTCTAGTATTTTTTGTTCACGATTCCACCTTGCCCCCTCGATGAATAAACCGAAGATGTAAACTCCAGTGTGTGAGGGGTCCAAGCCCTGAGACAGACGGGAGAGAGGTGGTGTCGGAGAACTGCAAGCCCGGCCAGAGGCCCCCAGACCCGAGCCGGAGCAGAGGTGGAGCAGAGGCCAGCCTGAGCGTCTGGAGGGTCTCTCCCCTGCGTGGGGCCATCCATGCCCAAGGCACGCCGTCCCAAGTTCTAAGGCGAATACTTAATTCTTTTCTTACTCTGAGCACTTAGAAAAGTTTTTAGGCTTTGGTCTATCTATATAATGAACTTGAATTAACAAATATTATGAAACGGAATAAAAACTCAAATTTCTACAATTAGAATCCTGTAGCTGAGCTTTTTAGGAGAGAGCCAGAACAGTTACAAAAGGGTTAAAAAAGAGTATGCTGTGCTCAAACTTTGTCACCTACCTCTACCATGGTGGCTACGGCTACTCATTTAGGCTACTGAAATTTTAAAAAGGCTGAGAAGGGTTCCATATGTCTTTGAATGATACGTGTCAAATAAATGATTAAATTTAAATGACAAAAGGTTAAATAAAATGAGTTTCTGATGAGTTCTGTGAAGCGGAAACGTCAGTTGTCAGCATCTCCAATTCCAGCGACTCCAGGTGTGAAGCCACGCGCTGTCCTGCAGGTGTGCGCAGGGCCGCAGACAGCAGCCCAGCACCAGCCGCCTGGGCGGGCTCCGCCTTGTCCTCTGATCCGTGGGCGGCTGAGGACCAGGGAGGGCACCGCTGTCCTGCGCAGCGGGGCAGCTGGGCGGCCCCTTGACATGGGCGCTGCGGAGTGGAGCAGCCCCTGCTGTGCTTGGAGACACTCTCTGTGCTGTCCACTGTGTGGGATGTGACTGAACCTGGAGGTGCGAACTGAACTTATTTCAAGCACCTCCTATTTTGGCTTATTCTAGAAAATACTTAAACTGGGAATTGCTTTGTGTAATACAATGACTTTTACGTTTCTTCTCCTTAACTTATGTAAATACAAGGTTTCATATACTGCATTTGTTCTAGTGGTGTCCTTTCATAAACATATTGGAAGATGTTAATCTAATGAATCTGACAGTCTGACTTCCATTTATACTTGTATGGTCTGGCAATGGCATGCATGGCTTTTTCCTCTGCCCAAATTGCAGGTAATTTGTAAACAGCCCATTTTGGGGAGATTTGACTCTCCAAAAAGCCATCAGAATAAATGGAAGTAATCTTACTTCACCTAAATGGAAGCTGGTTCTTGGTATAAAGCAGAAATAACTGAGCACATCTGATTAAATGGCTAGAGACGAAAAGTGAAGTCCGAGGGCTGCTTATGCCCCTCTCCCTCGGTAAGGAAAGGGCCAACGTGCGGCTGCCTCTCTGCAGCCTTTGCATACCCAGTGGGTTTGTAGGAAGAGGGGAGGATATGGGCTGTGCTTGGGTTCAAAGTTCATGATGTGAGCTCTTTGAATCTTCCTTTCCTGACCTATAAAGTGAGGATGGTGGCCAGGCGCGGTGGCTCACGCCTGTAATCCTACCACTCTGGGAGGCCGAGGCGAGGCGGGAGGATTGCTCAAGGTCAGGAGTTCGAAACCAGCCTGAGCAAGAGCGAGACCATCTCTACTATAAATAGAAAGAAATTAATTGGCTAACTAAGATATATATACAAAAAATTAGCCAGGCATGGTGGCGCATGCCTGTAGTCCCAGCTACTTGGGAGGCTGAGGCAGAAGGATCGCTTGAGCCCAGGAGTTTGAGGTTGCTGTGAGCCAGGCTGACGCCACGGCACTCGTTCTAGCCTGGGCAACAAAGCGAGACTCTGTCTCAAAAAAAAAAAAAGTGAGGGTGGTTTGTGAGGCCTGAGTATCTGGCGCGTGGTGAACGGTTGGCAGACGCTGGCTGGCGAGCACCAGAGCCGCCCTCCCGGCCAGTTGTCATCTCTGGACGGCAGGAGCCATATTTGTCTGTCTCTATACTCCCAACAGCTATCACAGTTTGGGATACGTATTTTCAATTGAATAAATTAATAAACAATTGAATAAAAAGTCTATAACACATCTGAACTTTAAATTTCTTCCATTTGCCAAGTGGTCATCTAATTTCTCCCAAAACTCCAATAACAGGGCACTCCCTGTCTACAAAAGGACACTCCACCATCATCACCATTTTAGACCAACTGAATGCCCCCTATTTTAAATGAGTCTATCCTGTGGAGCCCCCACTCCTTGGAGTTCTACTTCTAGTAGAATTAGGGTCTAGTTCTTCATGTAACACCCTTTAGCATTTTCTCCTCAGATTCCTCTAGGATGGATTCTTCCAGTTGCATCCTTCTTCTGATACAGTTTCTTCAGTCTTTCTGTATGTTCTCTCAATCATTTCTAAGGGCAGTGTTCTAAGTGCTGAGGAAGGCCAGGACTGCACCAAGAGGCAACAGCAAGAGTGCTGGCCGCCTCCCACCCACCCCAAATTTTGGAATGCAGTCATGAAAGCACTGGAAAATGAGAAGTATCCCCAATGGACCAGAAACTATGAGATCCCTAAAGACAAAAGGCACATAGGGTTAGGTTAAGGGAAACAATCAATAATATGTACAGTAAAACTAAATAAAATAACAATATCACACCCCTACTCAAAAAACCTCAAATCCTCCAGACTAATCTCAAGTCAAATATTGATGCAAAAGTCTTGAATAAAGTATTAGAATTAAGATGATTCAAGCTCAGAAATCTTATAATGATCATATTGATAAAAGTGAAAAATCATGTGATTATCTCCATAGATGCTGAAAAATCTTTCATTACATTTATTTTCCATTCTTCATAAAAGTTCTTAATATAGGAATCATACTTTATAACAAAATAAACTCCAGATAGTTCTATCTATATAATCCACCATGTTAATAAGATAAAAGATAAAAGCTGTCTGATTGTTTCAATGGATGCAGAAAATCATTTAATAAATTCAATACCTATTCATAATTAAGAAAACTTCAACAAACTAGGAATAGAAGGAAACTTCTTAAACTACCAAAAACCTATAAATGATATAATACTTAACATGAAATATTAAATGCTATTCCTTGAGTTTTAGGAAAAAGACAAGGATGTTCATTATTAACTTTTCTATTGAACATTGGACTAGAAAGAAATTGAAGAACTATATAAATGTTTAAATTTAAGCTAGAGAAATAAAAAAGAGCTAAATAAATACTTATTACTAAAAGTTGCAGTAGTGTTAAGACATCAATTCTCCAAAAATTAAGACAACTTTAAAGAAGAGCAAGAAAGTGAGAGGACTTTATGTTACCAGATATTAAGACTTACAATTAAGCTACAGTAAGTAAAATACTATGGGTCTGCCACAAAGACAGACAAATAATCAGTGGAACAAAATGAAGACTCCAGAAACAGGCCCAGGCATATGAAATTATTATGCAATGATCTATGACAAAGTTGAAGTAGGAGGGATGGCCATTTCAACCAAAAGAAATGGTGCCAAGTTAATTGGTATCCATATGGAACAAAAAGAACTTGACCCCACCTCATACCATACCAAACTCATTGATGTAGCTCACAGAAATAAAGGTAAAGTAATATAGTTTCTAGAAGATAACAGAGAACAAAGAGAATATTTCATGGCCTTGGGGTAGGCAAAGATTTCTTAAATAGGACATAAAAAAAGTACTAACCTAAGAAAAGATGAATATACTGGAATTTGTTATAACAAAGAATTTTGTTTACCCAAAGACACCATTAGAAAGTGAATCAGAATGTCACATACTGGGAGAAGATGCCTTCAATACATATATCTGATAAAGGACTATATCCAGAATATGTAAGAATTGCTATAAATCAGTAAGACAAAGACAGCCCAATTAAAAAATGGGCAAAAGTCTCAGAAACTTCATAAAAGAGGAAATCTGAATGTCAACAAGCATTTTAAAGGGTGCTCAGCTTCATTAGCCGTCAAGGAAATGCAAATTAAAATCACAAAGAGATACCTCTACACCCCCATCAGAAGGACTAAAATTAAAACACTAAAAATACCAAATGTTGGCAAGGATGTGGAATAATTTTTACTTACTGGCCAGCCTGTAGATTGGTACAATCACTTTGAAAAACCATTTGGCAGCTTCTACACCAAAGCTAAACATATGGCTATCTATGACCCCCAATTTACAGTCATGTGCCACATTTCAGTCAATGACTGACCAAATATATACCAAGGTGGTCTCATAACATTATAATGGAACTGAAAAATTACTATCATCCAATGACATCATAGAGCAACACATTCCCTTTTCTATGCTGAGACACACAAATACCGTTGTGTGACACTTGCCACTGTGTCCAGCACAGCAGCATGCTGGACGGGTTTGTAGCCCAGGAGCAATAGGCCATGCCACATAGCCTCGGTGTGTGGGAGGCTGTGCCACCTAGGTTTGTGCAGACACACTCCATGATGTCCCCACAGAATGAAGACATTACCTCATAACTCATTTCTTAGAACACAGTCCCATAATTAAGTGGCACATGATTATATTTATTTATTACTATTTTTTGTTATTTTGGTTGGTGCAAAATGGCTTTGCATTTACCTCACTAGAGATATTGAGCTTCCTTTCATGTTTTTTTTTTTTTTTTTTTTGAGACAGAGTCTTGCTTTGTTGCCCAGGCTAGAGTGAGTGCCGTGGCGTCAGCCTCGCTCACAGCAACCTCAAACTCCTGGGCTCAAGCAATCCTCCTGCCTCAGCCTCCCGAGTAGCTGGGACTACAGGCATGCGCCACCATGCCCTGCTAATTTTTCCTATATATATTAGTTGGCCAATTAATTTCTTTTTATTTTTAGTAGAGACGGGGTCTCACTCTTGCTCAGGCTGGTTTTGAACTCCTGATCTTGAGCGATCCTCCTGCCTCGGCCTCCCAGAGTGCTAGGATTGCAGGCGTGAGCCACCGCGCCGGCCCTTTTCGTGTTTTTTTTATCCTTTGACCAACACCTGTCCTCCCCCCACCCCCAGCATTGGTCCTGGAGCAGAAAGATAGATTCCCAGATTCCTAGAACAAGTGGAATTTAGTAAAGGACAACCATGGCTCTCCAAATCAGTGGGGGACGATGGTGGGAGGGTGGCAGGCCTGGGGTTTGTGCCCGGGCCAGCGGTCTGCACTCCCAGCCTGAGTGGCCGGGTCCTGCTCAGCGCTTGCTGGGCCAGGTTGGCGGGCGTCTCCACCGGGCCCGAGCCTGGGCCGGCGGCAGGGAGGGGCCCGCTGGCTGAAACGCCACCCTGACATTCGGGCCTCAGCAGCGTCCTGTTTTCACTAATAAAAGGAGATAAAGTTCATTTATTATACCAACTTAAATCTTTTAGTCATTATTTATGATTTTTTCTTTCCCCTAGAAGGAGAGTGTAGAGATGAAGTTTGATGGCGTGCGGACTGGAAGGGGGACTGTGCCTTGTCTGCCTGCCTCTCGGGCGCCCGGCCTGTGGTGAGTGCTGGACACGGGTGTGCTGAGGGAATGACTGAATGAACGAATGAATGATTTCCCTTTCCAATCTTTCAAGTATCCCAGTACCTGAAAGGCTCTCCTGACTATGTTGAGTTTCTTTTCGATGACGATGGAGAACTCCTCGTCTGTGATGTCGCTGGTGTCAGAAATCACATGGTGGGTGAAAGTGAGGGCGTCCATGGAGAGGCCCCGGGCCCTTCCGTAGTCCTGAAGCACGGCGGTGAGGAAGGCTGTGGAGAAGCCGCGGAGCCGTGAGTCTCGCGAGTCCCGGGGCTTCCCGCAGGGCTAGCGGCCCTGCCGCGCGGAGGGCAGGGAGCCAGGAGGGGCGCGGGGCGAGGCTGCGCGGGGCGAGAGGGGCGCGGGGCGAGGCGGCGCGGGGCGAGGAGGGCGCGGGCGGAGGCGGCGCGGGCGAGAGGGCGCGGGGAGAGGCGGCGCGGGGCGAGGCGGGCGCGGCGGAGGAGGGTGCGCGGCGAGGACGGGGCGCGGCGGCGAGTAGGGCGCGGCGATGCGGGCGCGGGCGAGGCGGGCGCGGGGCGAGAGGGCCGCGGGGCGAGAGGGCCGCGGGGCGAGAGGGGCGCGGGGCGAGAGGGGCGCGGGGCGAGAGGGCCGCGGGGCGAGAGGGCCCGGGGCGAGACGGGCGGGCGGGGCTCAGGTCGCCGCTCCCTCCGGCCCGTGACGCCAGGCGGCCAGCGCGGGAGCCTCCGGGCACAAGTGCTGTTTTTCTGGCTCCAGCCCCCCCATGTCCGTTGTGGGGCCCCCTCCGTTTCTGACCCAGTCTCGGCTGACCATCGGTCCTCAACGTCTTGGCAACAAAGACGGGGCCCAGGGGCTAGTCTGAGACCAAGTGTGTCTGAATCTTAAGAAATGGCACCAGGACAGTGGGAAAAGGACGACTCCTTTTCCTCTGGAGTTGCAAAGCTGCTGTGGCCACTTTCCCCTGGTTGCGTGGAGAAAGGTTGCGTTGGGCAAGAAACAATGAGAACACCTCCAGTTCCACATCCCACCATTTCCACCCTGTTAGTTGGCTCCTGTCCCTGTGCGCCCTATTTCAGTGAATGACGCCAGCAGCCACCAGCTTTCCAAGCCAGAGACCTAGGAGTCGTGCTTCCTCTCGCCCACCCTCGCCCATGTCCCTTCACCCACGGAGGCCACTGGCTCTGCTTCCCACGGGCGTCTCCCCGCTCCCCTCCCCCGCCCCCAGCCCTCCCACCTGCGTCTCCCGCTCCCCTCCCCCGAAGACAGAGTCTCGCTTTGTTGCCCAGGCTAGAACGAGTGCCGTGGCGTCAGCCTGGCTCACAGCAACCTCAAACTCCTGGGCTCAAGCGATCCTTCTGCCTCAGCCTCCCAAGTAGCTGGGACTACAGGCATGCGCCACCATGCCTGGCTAATTTTTTGTATATATATCTTAGTTAGCCAATTAATTTCTTTCTATTTATGTAAGAGACGGTCTCGCTCTTGCTCAGGCTGGTTTCGAACTCCTGACCTTGAGCAATCCTCCCGCCTCGCCTCGGCCTCCAGAGTGGTAGGATTACAGGCGTGAGCCACCGCGCCCGGCCACCATCCTCACTTTATAGGTCAGGAAGGAAGATTCAAAGAGCTCACATCATGAACTTTGAACCCAACCACAGCCCATATCCTCCCCTCTTCCTACAAACCCACTGGGTATGCAAAGGCTGCAGAGAGGCAGCCGCACGGTTGGCCCTTTCCTTACCGAGGGAGAGGGGCATAAGCAGCCTCGGACTTCACTTTTCGTCTCTAGCCATTTAATCAGATGTGCTCAGTTATTTCTGCTTATACCAAGAACCAGCTTCCATTTAGGTGAAGTAAGATTACTTCCATTTATTCTGATGGCTTTTTGGAGAGTCAAATCTCCCCAAAATGGGCTGTTTACAAATTACCTGCAATTTGGGCAGAGGAAAAAGCCATGCATGCCATTGCCAGACATACAAGTATAAATGGAAGTCAGACTGTCAGATTCATTAGATTAACATCTTCCAATATGTTTATGAAAGGACACCACTAGAACAAATGCAGTAATATGAAACCTTGTATTTACATAAGTTAAGGAGAAGAAACGTAAAAGTCATTGTATTACACAAAGCAATTCCCAGTTTAAGTATTTTCTAGAATAAGCCAAAATAGGAGGTGCTTGAAATAAGTTCAGTTCGCACCTCCAGGTTCAGTCCCATCCCACACAGTGGACAGCACAGAGAGTGTCTCCAAGCACAGCAGGGCTGCTCCACTCCGCAGCGCCCATGTCAAGGGGCCGCCAGCTGCCCCGCTGCGCAGGACAGCGGTGCCCTCCCTGGTCCTCAGCCCCCCGGTCAGAGGACAAGGCGGAGCCGCCAGGCGGCTGGTGCTGGGCTGCTGTCTGCGGCCCTGCGCACACCTGCAGGACAGCGCGTGGCTTCACACCTGGAGTCGCTGGAATTGGAGATGCTGACAACTGACGTTTCCGCTTCACAGAACTCATCAGAAACTCATTTTATTTAACCTTTTGTCATTTAAATTTAATCATTTATTTGACACGTATCATTCAAAGACATATGGAACCCTTCTCAGCCTTTTTAAAATTTCAGTAGCCTAAATGAGTAGCCGTAGCCACCATGGTAGAGGTAGGTGACAAAGTTTGAGCACAGCAACTCTTTTTTAACCCTTTTGTAACTGTTCTGGCTCTCTCCTAAAAAGCTCAGCTACAGGATTCTAATTGTAGAAATTTGAGTTTTTATTCCGTTTCATAATATTTGTTAATTCAAGTTCATTATATAGATAGACCAAAGCCTAAAAACTTTTCTAAGTGCTCAGAGTAAGAAAAGAATTAAGTATTCGCCTTAGAACTTGGGACGGCGTGCCTTGGGCATGGATGGCCCCACGCAGGGGAGAGACCCTCCAGACGCTCAGGCTGGCCTCTGCTCCACTCTGCTCCGGCTCGGGTCTGGGGCTCTGGCCGGGCTTGCAGTTCTCCGACACCACCTCTCTCCCGTCTGTCTCAGGGCTTGGACCCTCACACTGGAGTTTACATCTTCGGTTTATTCATCGAGGGGGCAAGGTGGATCGTGAACAAAAAATACTAGAAGACTCACTGCCTCTTGAATTGTGTTGTGATTTTCCTGTTATATACTTTTTGCCAACAAGGTAAACACCCAACTATCTGTCACCAAGTCCTAAATGTCTGAGCTTTCCCTCAGTAACACAAAACCATTTGTTCTATCACCGTCCTCCGATTTCACAAGGGAGATCTGATCATATACTTCAGACACAAACATTTAAACAGCCCAAAACATTACTAAAATCTAAAATAGATGCTATATAAGATGCAATGTTATTTCTCAAGAATATGCCATAATTGCTCTTTAAATTCTCCAGTCATAATTTCCATATACAGTTAACCATCTAACTTTAAAGGTATTTAATTCATAACAAATCCCCCAACCTAGCATATAGAAAATGTGAGCTACTGATTTGCCTGAACTATGCAATTTAACTATTGGATTTTTTTTTTTTTTAAGATTTCTACTGAAACACCAAATGCTTCTAACCAGACAGATTCAGACCTCTATACCTTTGAATGCCCAGTTTATCAGACACCTGAGAGGTCAAGAATTTTGGCAACTACTGGTTTATCAACAAACTGTTACATATCC